AATCGCTTTATTGCAGCCCTTGCAGAAGTTAGTGGTCATAAGACGTTTTTTTGCGGGGCAGTAGCTGCAAGTTTTGCGAGTTCTAGGAACCTCTTGACTAGGACCTTCCTGAGGATCATCAATTTTCAAGATCTCCGCGATGATGTGCTTCAAGTTTCGTTGCAAACTTACAGTCTGATATCTCTTGCAGCCAAGGCTTCATCAGTTCGTCTGCCATTTCATTTAAAGCAAAATGCCTTCTTTTCAAAGGTTTTTTTCCATTTCGAATCGCATTAGAGACTTAGATGACATATGCATTCACTATAGATAAATTTAGGATGTCGTAGAACAAGCACAACGGCCATCGATTGGTCTTACGGCTGGTACTCATGATCGAGCACATCTGGTCTACAGTATCAACCGCACCCTTTGTGGAATTGTAGAATTCAATAATTTTGGCCTTTTTTGAATCAATATTGATAGCAGGTTGATCATGTATAGTAGAAATTAGGTAAACGAGCTTATTTGACTTCGGTTTATAAGACACCAAAGTAATTTCTTTATCGAAACCGAACATCGAGGTACCGACTCGTCTATTTCTAAAATTCCTCATTTCTTTGGGGATCTCTCGCTTATTGCTTCGTAAAGTACCTACCACTGTGAGCTTATATGGCGGTTTCAACAGTTCAGCGGCCAGAGGAACCGATGTAAACCAAATTTAAACCAATCCATGGTTATATTCCGGTTCGACCCATAGTACGGTTTAGACAGCTCCTTCACAAAATAATTCGCTATTGGCTCGTTACCTGTGTTCATATTTTTTCCCATATAAGGCATAGCATTGCACATGTATTTTGTACTAGAATCAGCCATCATAACAAGCTTCAAGCCATTTTATTAGGGATGTACATGCGAAACGGCCAGCGTCCTCTAAATCCAACCAGTTGGTCGTCCTCGGTTATGCAAGAACCTGGCTTATACCATTTCCTGCAATTTTCTATAAACAGTTCCCAGAAATTTCTAGTTGGTGCCAGTCTATCAGATACCCTTCTCTCTTGTCTAGTATTTCTGTCATCAAATCTCATACATCTCAGTAAAAAGTCGAACCTTTCTGCGCTCGTGCAGGCTTTGTAAGTTTTTGCACTTCTCAAGGTATCAAACAAAGTTCGCGTTGGCAAATGGTTACTTATGAGACCAGCAGATTGAATTAGCAGACCCAGCAATGCCTTCATTTCATTGGCCGACGTTTGTGTAGTAGTATACTTAGATGTTTTATACTTATTGTTTTTATGTCAATCTTGGCTTTCGTATATTTTACAATAACGTCAATCATTTCTTCCTCTACAAAGAGATAATATAGATTTTTTGGCTGTGAGAGTTCTTTAGCCATACCTCTAGGACCAGGTACAATATGCAGTACATTACGAGCAGCCGTGCGAGTACGTGGGTCTCAAGGTTTTGTAGACAATTTGTGTTGATTTTTACCATATAGGATATTCTAACTTGGTTGAATTATTGATTGCTGCTGTGGTGGTACCTCATGTTCGGAACCCTTCTGATTCGTACATGATGTCAGTGAAGTATCATCATCAGAATCTATGACTAACCTTCGACTATGGCTGCGACGTGGAACGAAGACCTTGTCGTCCGACAAATCTGCAGCATCCTCGTCGCTTCCATCAGTTTTGGTATGAATTTCCGCCTTGTGGCGGCGCTGCCGTCGCGCCACAAGCGAACACATCGAAACCTAAATCGCGCTTACAAAGTTCCGACGTTAAAGCAGCATATATAGAATAGCTCCGAACTACTAATCGGAGCGTTGGCCGCTCCCCGGGCAGAACACCTTGCCCGGCGAGAGATCTCCACTTTTCCTTCCACCCGCCACAGTGGTTACCACCAGACGTGATATGAACACGCAACCAACATCCTTCGGAAACTACACATTCAAAACTTCATCATCCTCAAGTCCCCCATACATTCGCTCCCAAGCTGATATTCTCTGCAGTCTTCACATTCTGCAAAGCCATCTAGCTTTACAAAGGTTCATAGCAGCATTGGAATAATAATGCTTCCTGTTCCTTCAAACTACTCTGCGCTACAGTATTCGGCACGGCTCTGAGCCTTACTGCTCGCCTCTGCTTCACGGCACTCTTGCAGATTACTTGCTTTCTTCTCGACTCACCGCAGACTTACAGGGCAAATTCCATGGCACTTGCAAATTCGTCGACATCTAGACTGCATTATCAACCTCCGGTCTGATCAGCGGGGTGATGTGGCGGTGCTGTCGTCGCGCCACAAGCGAAATATATCGAAGCCTAAATCGTGCTAACAAAGTTCCGAAGTTAAAACAGTATATATATAGAATCGCTCTGAACTACCACTCGGAGCGTTGGCCGCTCCCCGGGCAGAACACCTTGCCCGGCGTGAGATCTCCCCTTTTCCATCCACCCGCCACAGCCTCTAAATGATTACCATCCTCGGATGCCGAAGACTGTGGTTGATTATCGGAGATTGATTCCGTTTCCGAATCAACTAACCATTGTATATTTTTTTCATTTAGACTCCTCAAATCCGTCTGAAAGTATAAAAAACAAAAACTATATATTTTAAATCCAAAAAAAGAACAAAATATCAAAAATTTGCAAACAACATTGAAATCTATTAATAATTTATAAAATATAGTAATTATTACGTACCTATTATAACATAAAAATAATATGTTCTAATGAAAATAATTGACTGCACTAAATGCACAACTTTGAAAAAAGTTACGTAGATACTAACCTTTCGTAAATTTTACGACGATCACACGATATATCCCGATCTAATGAGCGTGCGTATCATGTGGGAAGCCACTGAATGTAAATGGCAGTGTAATTTGGTTTTGTTTAGCTATAATTAATTGTTTTCGGCTCCAAAATGGCGAAATTTCGTTGATTTTCGGTGATGTTGATGCCTTGTATGTAAATTATTTTTCTAAATAGGCGGAAACCGCACTCCGAGCTACAGCCACATAGTACTTTACTCACTCACTGAGTTCGGCGTCAGTCGCCGTCGTGAGTGGACATTGTTTCGGTTGTTTGTTTGCAGCGGCTCAAAAAGTTCGCCGTACAAATACACAATATTCGAATAACCAAATTTAATACTTGATTATAATAATAACGAGAGATTTTTTTTATTACAATATTTTAAAAGCACAGAATAAATAATAGTAGTACGTACTAAAAGTAAGTAGTATAATTTTTTTTTGTCATGGGTGACATTTTCATGGTTTTCGAGGGTGTTGAAACCGATAGGGTGTCGAAATGTAAATCCAAGATGGCGGCCGCAATAGGTATCAATTTTTTCATCATGGGTGTCATTTTCATGGTTTTCGAGAGAGTTGAAGCCGATAGGATTTTCGAAATGTAAATCTAACATGGCGGTTGCAATAGATATCAATTTTTTCATCATGGGTGTCATTCTCATGATTTTCGCGGGTGTTGAAGCCGATAGTGCTGTCGAAATGTAAATCCAAGGTGGCGGCTGCAATAGGTATCAATTTTTTCATAATGGGTGTCATTTTCATAGGTTTCGAGGGTGTTGAAGCCGATAGTGCTGTCGAAATGTATTTGAACTACTTTAAAAAAATCCGTATAATCATGTTATACGTAATTTTTTAATGCGCTTGAGGCATGCCCAATTGGATTAACCAATTTTTTTTATCATGTTCTGGAACATTGTGACCAAATCTGTGTATCTAAGGAATAAAAATATTTTAAAGATGTAGTCTACCAATAAGCACCTTGCCCAACTTATTGTTTCATACCCCTCTGAGAAATGAGACAGAGTCTGTGCCCAGCAGTAGAACATGAACATAGACTCTAATAGATAATTGGCTACTTTACAAATACTTTTATCCTCCCAACCTTCTATCAAAATTGCTACAGTGTACTTAATTATCTTAGTTATCAATGATAATTATGTTTAAAAAATATTGGAAATTTTTGTATAATTGTGAAAACTTCTTAGATTTATGTGAAAGTAACTTTGTCTGATTACAATGGTCTCTTCTTGTCTTGACATTTTCTATGCTAACATTTATAAACAACAACAATTACAATTAGCGCACATATTCAAACTTGTAATTTATATGTTTAAATATTCCTTTTTCCAGCTCAATACACTGGATATCGAATGTATTGAAGAGAACCTTTCCACTGAAAATATTCAAGTGCAAGCAGCAAGAGAGCAATTAAATGTTTACTCGATAGCATATACCACAGATGGGATTCTGAAAGGCATGGACATCATTAGAATCGGAAAGCGTACATTGCTACCAATGCATAAAAAGCCTTAAACTAGTATAAAAATGTTAAAAAAATAAATCATATAATAAATAATATATACAACGCATTTTATTTCTACCAATCCTCCTTTTTCATAATAAAATAATAATAAAAATTGTGATTAAAATTATATATATATATATATATATATATATATATATATATATATATATATATATATATATATATAAATAAAATAATCTGCATATATATACCTATATAAAAATATATAGGTATATATATATATATATACATATATATATATATATATATATAAGGCTGAAATAAAATTATTCATTTGCCTATATCCAATCCATATTAAAAAAAAAGAAATGTCATGTTCTGATTTGCTCTACGGTCCAAATTAAATGTACCAGAGACGTCTGAACGCGTAGTGCATAGATAATAGGGATGGGTAAAGGGAAAAAATATATCGCGTGATAAATATCGATATATCGTCATCATTTCAATGATGTAAAGATAAGGTTCAAAATTTTATTTACTGACGATTGGACGACGAAAAAAACGATCCTACATTTTAAAATATATCGAAATTGATACGAATTCGATACTCCAAAATAAATGTCGATATATCGCGATTTAAAATATCGACGATAGATATCGATATATTTATTAAAAAATAACGATATTTCGATATTTTTTACCCAAGCCTAATAGATAATACACTATACCAGGAAGTATTCTAGTGGCGTAGTGTTTCTATATAGTTTGTGATCACTACGTTTAAACATACGGTCAAGTCAAAGATTATTGCTGAAAGATTACCAGCCGTGCACCTATATATATATGTTCTGTGATTGACATACAAAATGTCATAAAATACAAAATCCGTACTGGAGGAGTTCCTGGAGATACATTCATTTGTTAATTTTTGGACCATACCTTATAAACTTACAATTTCATTTAATGAACCTGTTATGTACCTCAAATCAAAAACACTAATTTAAAAATTAATAAGTACTGCTAACTGACATAATACCTGCGTAAAAAAATATTTCCAGGGAATAGGGAATATAAAGTTTTTTTTTCGTGGTACCTACATAATAACGATTATTGTTCTGTGCATTATAATATAGAATTTTGAGGTAATTTACAAAATTATTTTGTAGATTTTTCATTATGATAACTGGGCTGTTTATTTTATGAAATAAATTCAATATAACCATTAACATTATGAGCTTGATATAAAATTATATTAATAATAAATTTCAAGCAATTTTTTGGACCATTTTTAGTATAGTGCAAATTAATTTTATGCAAATTAATTTTAGTAGGCATAGGGGGCTTATTAATTTTTTATTTTCTTATTTATTGACTACTAGGTATTGCAATTTTTAAAACAAATATTACATGTATATTCCCTAAATACCTAAAAACGAACTAACTTCTTGTAAGAAAAACAAATAATCAAAACATACTGATAAATTGTGAGCATATTTTTAAGGATATTATGTAAACCACCACATACCAGCCTCCTTGACATTGTACCAAACCACAATCTTTCATTTTTATTTTGATTAAACAGTAGCATGTTGAAAATAAACAGCTTTTACAGGTTTGAAAGCTCTGAACTTCCTTGAAATTAAATAAATTAATTTTTAAATATTTACACTTATAGAGACACTGGAAACAAGAAGAAAATGATCTCCAAGCACATACAGGTGGATTTTAAAGATGATTTACCCGACGGTGAAGTGATCTTTGATATTAAATATGAAACGTATTGGCAGGAAATGGCTGAATCTAAACGGTAATATTTCACATTTTAATATTCAAAAACAAGTAAAAGCCATTTAATGTATTGCAACTTGTATCACATTGAAAAAGGGATGGACTTTTAGTTGTATTGTTATACTTCAAAGCAGTTTTTCATATAGTTAATATTTTAATGAATAAATCAATAATTTACAATATTGCAAACAGTGATCAAATGATTACAATAATAACAGGTTTTAATTTCTGTACAAGAAGTGTATATATTTCAGTATTATTAAAAGAGCTATGAGTTCATTCACAGTGCAATAAAAGTCTAGTTGTTTTAATACTTCTTCATCAGTCCAAAGAAGTTCACTGCTGGGCATAAAAACTTTTAAAGGCGAGAATTTGTCTCGGTCATTATAAGTGGTTTTACTTTGTAGAGCCATGCTGCAGCTATATTAATAGTATAGTTGTAGCAAGAATGGGTCGGCTTGACCGGGGAAGGACCACACTCACAGAATACCAGCGTAAAATAGCAGCTAAATGCTGCTGTGTTTTGTATGGTGAGTGTAGAGAACCGGTGACCCATTTTACTGGAAAAGAGATATTCTATCTTAGTCTTCACGGCTGACAACACATCTGCATTTCAATTCGCAAACGAAGATAGATGTAGATGTCTATGGGCCACAGCAACCACTTACCATCAGGTGGACTGTGTGCTCGTTTGTCACACTTACAATAATAGTAAGTATTAAAATGACAGCTTTAAGATACCAAGATGGGGCAGAGCGGTATCAAAGATGACTTTTAACGGTGGATGTCAATCTGCCTGATATACTTTATTCACTTTTTTTATAGAATGTCTGTTCTAAGAAATTCAATCATTCCATTAGTCAAAACATTTTGTATGGAAAAATTGTGTATGTATTGCCCAAATACAAAAACACTGCTCAATTTTAAGATGCTGTTAACTATTATGGTGTCTCTATCACTTTAAGTGTAAGGCTGAGATCTATAGACAATACTTTGCTTTGCTCAGACTTTACTTTTCGAACTAAGACAATGTCGGTATTTATAGAGCTAACTTAAAAGTTGTGCTGAGTGCGCGCTTAGCAAATTCTAAGTCAATGAAATTGATGACTTACATAAAACTCAGGATATTATCCAAAACCACCATATTAATTTTAAATTGTTGTTTTTATGCTCTCTAATCATTATTAAATTATTATTTAACAATAAATCGGTAGTTTTAAGTCATCTTCTGTTTTTATATAGCATTAATCCGCTTTCTATTAATGTAATTTCAAATTTATTTCGAATTTCTTAAAATCTTTATATTTTCTGATTTTGCACTCTTCTCATCTGTTCCCGTTCTCATACGCCTGTTTTCTATTGCATTTAATAGTAACTTATTTATGAAGTACAATTTGGACTGTTTTTGATTTTTAAATATTTTTATTTTTAGTTTTATACAGTATAATCAAGAACATAATGGAGCATCCATTAATTTTTTGACTATCTGGGCCTTAGCACAAGTTAAGCTTAATATTAGTCCAATACAGCTATAAATTCAAAAACAAAGATTATGCTACTTATTTCATAAGTAAAGTCTGAGCAATGTCAAAGTACGGTCTATAGATCTCAGCCTAATGACTGTGACATCACAAGACTTCACGACAGTGTTTGAGTATTTGGCCAATATTCCTTTATTTTTCATACCTTAACGCCAAACATACATGATTTTTATGCATATCTATGGCAGAGTACATTTTGAATGATATGATTCATTCCTTTTTTTTTTTTATAAACGAAAAAACACTATAATTATTGATTTCTATGTATGTAAATTATTGAATTCTATGTATGTATAAATTAATGATAATACTTATTTTACATGAAATAATTAAAGATAATTTCTATATTACTTGTAAATCGTTATTTAGATATGATTTTTTTAAAATTAATAAACCCCAAGTGTTAAGGAAGAAAAAGAACACTAGGAAGAAACTGGTAGGTTTCCTTTTCTATTTGATTGTCATTCTAGTATATTTAATGTGTTTTACAGGGTCGAGTTGGAGTATGCTTTAGAGGAGAATGAAAGGCTTTGTAAATTGAAGGAAATACTGATCAATGAAAATATCCACTATCAGAAGCTTCTAGAAGAGGCTAACAGCTTTGTGGAAGTTTTTAAAGTGAGAATCATTTATTAATATTTAATACCACTAATACCACTTATTATTATTATTATCTGTAACGTGACTTCAATTATTATCTGTAACAGTATTAGGTTTAGGTTTATTATTTAGGTTTTCATGAACAATGAGTATTATTGGATGCTTAAGGAATTTACGAACATTATATTAAATATTAGCTTTAAGCAAAACCTAAAATAATATATAAAATATTTTAATAAATTGTTGCATTTAATGATCTTTTTGTATATTTTTTCATAAAAAATGGTATAACTACCATAAGTTCATAATGTTATAGTAGTAAGAATATCCAATACCTCATAAATATCTTATGGTTGTTGTAAGATATGACACAGGGAAATAACCTGGGAGATTGAATGCAGCGTCTTGCTACTAATAACTAGAAAATAAAAAACTGCAGTTGCTTACCCACCAGCCAAGCGCGGCAACTAAGATAACAAAATACTAAATATAAATACTATAAAAACTTAATTTCATCGTCATCATTGATCATTGTTCAGTATTTATGGAGGCAGCTTACGTTAAGCAGTGAACTTTTATAAACTGTAACATATGGATGGATGATTGTTTGTTTAACTGTATTTTTCTTTATTTTAAATTTATTTATTGTCACTATGGTTCCTTTCGACTAAACGGAGCAGTTTTATATCATTAAAAACTGAAAATAAATGATATAAAATTTATCAGTGTTTACAATTTAAGGGAAAATTTTATTACTCTTTCTGCATTTACAATTAATCACAAGGCTTTTCAAGTTTTTTTTTACCCACTATCAAATGTTAGACTTACATGTAAATACACAAGTACACACTTACACAATGTAAGTAAATTTAAACAAATTAAAGTTTACTGAGCATTTGGAATATTTGAGCCCAGTATGATGTGTTTTATCTTATACTTCAGTTTCTTAAATATTTTTTTTATAGGATAGGGTGACAAACGAGCACACAGTCCACCTGATGGTAAGTGGTTGCTGTGACCCATAGACATCCACATCTATCCTCAATAAAGAATCAAAATGCAGATGCGTTGTCACCCGTGAGGACTAAGATGGAATGCCTCTTTTACAGTAAAAAGGGTCTCCGGTTCTCTACACTCACCATACGAAACCTGCTGTGTTTCGTATTAAGCTGCTATTTTACGCTGGTATTCGAATCGTATGGTTCCATAAATGAAAAATATGTAAACATAATTTTAAGAAACTGTATTAATGAGAATTTTTTTTGTAGGATTTGGTTCAAGATTCCCCTGACGATACAGGCATTGATGTTAGAGATGTCAGTGACTCCAATGACGAGTAAAAGGTGTCCAGTTTAGATACTTCAAGTCTGACATGTGCATAATCTGTTATCTGTCTATACCTACATTTGGTTTCAAATGTTTTGTAAACCGGAAGTAGCAAGTCTCTTCATAATGTCTTGTTTTAATTTAAGGACTTGGTTAAGTAAGTAAGACTTGTATAAGTTAAAGACAATGAATAGTTTTAAATTTAGTCCTGGTTCTTTACAAGTTCTTTGTTTCATCATTATAACTGCTTTGACGAAAGTTCATTAGTAAGTACTTATTATAATTAAGATGTTTCATTGTTATAAATGAACCTGTATGCATAATAAAAAATAAATATCTCCGAAACAGTGTTATGTTAATATTCTCACTCGATCTTCTTTTTGCCAGTTTCAAGAAATAAATGTAGATTCTTTAAAAAATCAAATTTTGACTATGTACTACTTAATGTGTTCATATTAATAAAATAAAATTATTTCTACTTGGTCTGGTACCACTTTTAAATTATTTTGTTTGTAAAAATTTTCTGGCACTTGCCTTTACCATTGATATTATGTTATTTACTAAGTATTATATTATATTCTAAAAATAAATTGTCAACAAAATACGTGTTCAAGTTATTATAGTTTTCTGGGGGCACGGCAGTGTCCCCGCCAAGTCGAGCAAAAAACTTCGTTGTGGATAAAACTAGAAGCCTGAATTTTCAGTAACCAAGTAGGCATTGTATAATCTCGATATGTTTCAAATGTTATTAAATTTGAACCAGTAGTTTAAGAATTATGTCAAAGTTTCTTATTTTTGTCACTTACTGACTGAACGATCATCAAAACTCTAAGGCACTTCTAACGGACATAGAAGCTTCAAATTTGGAATACAACTATTGTTTAGTATATAAATCAAGGAAAAATTAAAATATTTTGTAATTTCAGTCCAGTTTTCGAGATACGCTAACTGCATAAATAACTTTGTAATCCCATATAAATATATAGGATTACAAAGTTACAATTGCAGTAAATGAATCAATGTACCTCTATATGTGTAATATATTGGAATAATAAGTGTAGATAGGTACCGAGATATAACTATCTACAAAAAGAAATGAGATGCCATCAAAAACATAACTTATAAAAAATATCAAGTCTCGCAACTCAGTTCTTCTACCGTAAAAAGTTGTGAGATCCATGTAATACCAAGTCGGTTAATTTACTCAGTCCCTACTTAAGGGTTCTTCTGTCTTAAGTTATTACGTAATTAGCTAACCTAACAACATCTTATAGTGACCATATCGATATTAAAAATCTTTTATGTTTTAAATAAACAAATTGACTTGGCAATCCCACTAAACAATCTAATTTAATATAATATGTATTACTTGTGAGATACATTGCGTTTTCATGCGATGGCCAAGTCCATCTATTTATTTAAAATATAAAAGATTTTTCGTATTGATGTGGTCACTATAAATAGGTTATATAATAGGTTAGCTAATTACGTAATAACTTAAGACAGAACGACCCTTAAGTAGGGACTGAATAAATTAACCGACTTGGTATTACATGGATCTCACAACTTTTTACGGTAGAAGAACTGAGTTGCGAGACTTGGTTATTTTTACAAGTTATGTTTTTGATGGCATTAATATACGAGGGCTGCACTAAAAGTATCGAGAATGGAATATTTCCACTGTTCCTGTCATATTAAAATTTTTTTAATTGAAAACCCCTTGGTTTTAAAAATCGTATACCATTTATTTATTTAAAAAAAGATTCTCGGTCTTGTCACAAGGTTTTGTCAAACTTGTATAGTCGTTGAGAAAATGGAATTGACTCGAGAAAATTCAAGAGCGATGATTTATTATGACTTTCGAAGTGGTTTAACACAAAAACAGTGTGTTGACCGGATGATTTCTGCATTTGGTGATGAAGCCCCATCCAAACCCAAAATTTATCGCTGGTTTGCTGAATTTCAACGTGGACGTGTCAAGCTCAGTGATGATCCCCGTCAAGGTCGTCCAAAAACTGCAGTCACCCAAGAAAACGTTGATGCTGTGCGTAAGCTAATTGAGGAAGATCGACATGTGACTTACCGCGAAATTCAGGCAACTTTAGACATTGGCATGAGTCAAATAAAAATAATCTTGCATAAACAATTGGTGTAAAAAAGTTGTTTTCCCGATGGATACCGCATTCGCTCTGTGAAGAGCAAAAAGCGCCTCGCGTTACTTGGTGCGTCAGAACTCTCGAAAGATTCCACGCAGGATCCTCAAATGCTGTATACAACATCGTATCAGGTGACGAATCATGGATATACGCGTACGAACCCGAAACAAAAAACCAGTAACGAGTTTGGGTGTTCGAAAATGAGTTAAAGCCAACAAAAATTGTTCGTTCACGGAGTGTTGCAAAAAAAAATGGTGGCCACGTTTGTCTCCAAAACCGGCCATGTTACGACTATTCCTCTTGAGGGACAAAGAACGGTTAATGCAGAATGGTATGCTAGCATTTGTTTGCCACAGGTCGTTTCTGAACTCCGTAAAGAGAACTGCAACCGCCGCATCATCCTCCATCACGACAATGCGAGTTCTCACACCGCACACAGAACAAAAGAGTTTTTAGAGCAAGAAAACAGAATTATTAGACCATCCGCCGTACAGCCCCGACCTAAGCCCTAATGATTTCTATACTTTCCCTAAAATAAAGAATAAATTGCGTGGACAGAGATTTTCATCACCTGAAGAAGCTGTGGACGCCTACAAAACGGCTATTTTGGAGACCCCAACTTCCGAATGGAATGGTTGCTTCAATGATTGGTTCCATCGTATGGAAAAATGTGTCAAATTTCGCGGAGAATACTTCGAAAAGCAATAAATACATTTTTAAATAGTAATGTTGTGTCACTTCCTTGATTCCCGAAATTTTCAGTGCCGCCCTCGTATTTACATATACAAACGAATTTATTGTGTTGCAACTCTTGTACATACAACTTTATAATTTGTGGTTGCAACGGCATTGAGAATATGTCACTCAATCTCTGGAGTCAGTGTTGTCATTACCCTATGTCATCCCACGGGTGACGTAAAAAGCGAGATTAGAACATCATACTCCTGATAACAACTTTATTAAAATACTTCAGTTGCCAACCCATTGGCGAAACGAGCCAACTGTTACCCATACGTGGGGTGCATTATATTGCACGTGTTGTTCGGCTCGAACCTTGGAAGTACCACGACTTCGCAGAATGACCGACGTGAATTAGAAACGTTACTTCGCATTTTTATTGGTAAGTGCAGCTAATCGGAGACCCCGTTCACTTGGAGGAGCGCTTTAGATTTAGGATGGAATGTACGGGATTTTTGTATCCTACCCACAGGGGTGCGGGTTTGCTTTACGCCGGGTAAATCCCAGCCTTGTTGGTTATTCTGTCACTAATGAGGTGCTTCAGGCAATAGTACTTTTTATTCCATCATCTGTGGTACTCATCGTACTCATTAAATCATATGTCTGTATTTTGAATTTTGAAAGTAAAAAATGAAAGTATTTTATGTGGTTTGATTATGTTTGATTTTAGTTACATAATAAGAATTATTTTTAGTAATAATGAGTGTGCGTAATATGTAAAAGTCGTTAAAGTCCGGGAGGAAAACTGGCGTAAAGGCCACACGTCACGTTCTGTCCCCTGGAGGGGCGAAAAGTGGATTACGGAAGCCCGTCTGGCTACGTAGAATGTATGTGGAGCAATGAATGATAAGATGGATGAAGTATGAGATAGAAGATGAAGATAGAGGAATAGACGTGTTATGTGTAAATGAGACGAAACGGAGGGGAAAGGATGCCACTACACATGACATGTATATCGCGTACTGGTCTGGTGTAGACGAGACCGAGCGGGCATGCTAGGGAGCCGGTATCTTCCTTTCAGAAAGAATGGGTCATTGTGTGAAAGAGTATGAATGTGTAAGCCCGAGACTGCTATGGATACGAATGAAAGTGAGCTTAAAGAAGTTATTTGTTCTAAGGGTCTACGCCCCAGTCATGTCTCAGACCACTTATATGCGACAGCAGTTTTGGGAGTTCGTAAGGATGGTGCTAATGAAATGCAAGGGTAATGAAAATATTGTGATATTAAGAGATTTTAATGCAAGGGTTGGGGTGAGGAGGCTTGGTTATGAAAGGATATTGGGAACGTTTGTCGATGAAAGTATAAATGAGAATGGTGAAAGCCTCCTCACCGTATGTGTGGAAAAGAATCTTTTTGTGACGAACACTTTCTTTCGTCATAAGAAGATTCACACGTATACATGGGAAAGAGGTGATGATAGAAGCGTGATAGATTTCATAATCGTTGATGAAAGAATGAGGAGCGCGGTGGTAGATACAAGGGTTTACCGGGGGTCTAACGTAGGGACGGACCATTACTTGGTCTTATGCCGAATTAATGGTCTTTTCAGACGTTGGAGGTATCGGACATCTGTGTCTACCACTGCGTTACAGCGTATAAGAACAGAGAGGTTACAAGATGAAGGTGTGAAAGAGAAGTTCAAATGTAGATCGAGAGAAAATATAAGTGGTATGGCTGAATTGTGTATGAATGATTTAGAGTTGGATACTGTGTGGTATAATGTCAAGAAAGGTTTGGAGGATGCAACTACCGAAGTATGTGGTGTAAGTAAGAGAACGAATGAAAGGAAAAATAACACGTTATGGTGGGATGATGAGGTATGGATGGAAGTTAAAGCAAAGAAGAAAGCGTGGCTAGATTTACTAGCAACCAAGGCTAGTAATTGTAGCGGTATGAATGATGATATTGAAGGGAAAAAGGCAGTCTTTAGACATCTATATAAGAGAGTAAAAGAAGTAGTTGAAAGGAAAAAGCAAGAAAGAACGAATAAGAAAGATAGAAGAATATCGGATAACTTCCAGGCAAACATTAAAATGTTCTGGAAACTCGTAAGAACTGCCAGAGGACATTCAAAACAGCCTAGAATTAATGCTATACGAGACCAGAATGACTGTATTCTGAATGACGAAGTTTTGAGTTTAAGGAGATGGAAGAAATACTTTTAAAGCGTGTTTATGAGTGATGAGACGTTTGAATTAAATGAAATAGAAATTCCGAAAGAAGAGGAAATAGATAGAGACATAAGTATAGATGAAATAATGAAAGCAATGAAAAGTATGAAAGCAGGTAACGCAGCCGGTTATGATAGAGTATCTCTCGAAATGCTAAGGGCTGGAGAAGAAGTAGTGGCAGACCTGCTGGACACCTGGCTTAATTTATGTTGGGAACTCAAGCGGGTATCGGTAGACTGGTGCAAAGCCGTAATAGTCCCAATATATAAAGGAAAAGGATCACAGCAGGACTGTAAAAACTACCGTGACGTAAAATGCCTTCATAGCATTGTAGGAAAATTGTATGCTAAGGTACAAATTGAAAGAGTTATGAAAGAAACTGATGGAAAAATTTGGGATGTGCAAGCGGGATTTAGAAAGGGAATGGGATGTACAGATCAGGTCTTTTCCATGCGCATGGTCGCGGAGAAGTTTTTGGCCAAAAACCAAAAATTGTTTTGTGCGTTCGTGGACTTGGAAAAGGTTTATGACAGAGTGGACAGGGATGTGTTATGGCAAACACTGAACTCATTTGGGTTGAGCGCTTAGTTGATACAGGCATTGAAGTCTCTGTATAGGGACTAGTGCTTGTGTCAGGGTCAATGGAACCTACTCGGACTGGTTTAGCATCCATAAAGGTGTTAGACAGGGCTGTGTGGCTTCCCCGTGGCTGTTCAACCTATTTATGGACAGTTGTTTGGAAAATTTGAAAGTAGAAGAATGCGGATTAAGAATGACAAGAAGTCGATGGATGCAGGTGGCTCAGGAGCGTGCTTTGTGGCATTCTTTGGGGGAGGCCTATATTCAGCAGTGGACTTGTGAAGGGCTGTAATGATGATGATGAAAATTATTCATTAACAAAATTTCAGTAAATAGTTCCTGTTTTTTTTCTTCAGTCTTTTATCACCCCTCTGCTGGGATATAGGCTTGAAATCGAAGAGATGGTAAGGCCACATCTTACATCACCACGCTGACTCAGTACGGGTTGGCAGATTTCACATACCTACGCCATTAAATTCGTCTCCCGACATAATTATGCAGGTTTGCTTATAACGTTTTCCTTCACCGACAAGTCAGTGGTATGATTAACATAAACAGGTTATTCTTATCATGAGATTACCCCTTAATTTGTGTTAATAATTTATGTACGTCATTCTGTGAAAAGCGATTGATTTGAACTGTGCCAGTGACAGTTAGGAACAATTTGTATGGGATAAAATAAAATGTGGTTTTTACGTTTTTCTGAGTAATTTTTCCATATTCTCTCCATAAGAATATTTCTCAGACTTCAACGAATACACGAAAAAATAAATTATAGTTTGTCTTTTAATTGTATTCAGTAACTTGACAGTTCAAAGACAATTTTTAATATTTGTAATATTTATCGTGTTTTTAAGACAATTCAATTTCGTTTATTCTTACACCAGTTAGTGTAAGAATGAACGAACGAAAGAACACTATCTTTTATTTGGCAAAATCTGACAGTTGAACTGTTAAGTTACAGAATACAATACCTAATTAAAAGTCGAACTACAGTTTCAGTATAGCAACACATTTTGTCATTCGTATTTATTTATATAACAGATATATATATATATATATATATATATATATATATATATATATATATATATTACAAAGTTGTAAACCCATGTTATGCTGCATTGTCGTCAATGGTCCGTTTGAGCTCTTGTCCCACGGATCGGGTAAAAGGTTTTGGTATGACAACACTTGCCTATTTGTGACGTCATCATTACCTATCTCGTGTGGTCACGCCAAGCAGGAGTCTATAGTTTTATCTGTCTACGGCTTGGTACTATATCCGTTCATTGTCATTGACTATATTTCTTGCGGGACTGACCTACCGGGGAAAACTACTAATTATACTTTTTGTTAAGTGATCTGGAATCAATATTCACAATACATATCTGTATCTATAAAATGTATATATTTATCAAAATGGAATACATTTTTGTAAATACCAAACTTACATATTCCACACCTTCGTAATAATAAACATTTGCTACACGTACCTGTAGGGTCCATGGGACTTAATTCATCTAGACCGTCACCTTTTTTTTAAGCCCATTGATCAAAACGTCAATGAATCTTGTGCCATTCAGTTCGTCCCATGTCATAATGAAACCGCCACGTAACAGTAGGCTTTTGAGCCTTTAAACCGGTGCATAGGTAGGAGAAAGAATTCAGCAGGATATGGCTCTATAGATAATATAACCATGTCACATGCTTATAAACGTTTGAACATCATTAATCGTATGAGGTTCGATTTTGATTTAAAATCAATAAAATATTGTCCTACTGAGAAGGCTTTTGTGTTCCATACAAACACAATATTTCCTAAATCTGATAGTTCGATGGTATGGCAATCCGAAACGAACTATACTTAAAAACTACGCAATCAGTTGTGACTGCTAACATTCTATTTATTCAATAAAAATGTGTTTTTATTTGTATTATTTTTCCAGATTGGTGAAATAGCTGGCACATGCACCAATTGAAATGATTCACATGTTAAAACATATTTGTGGCAAACATTGCATTTGAACCCAACTAAAACGAACTGTTATTTCATCAGTCGACTTAATTTAAACTTCCATAAGTATGTGTATGATAATTAGTTTTCATTTACATGTAGCAAAAGATAATGTCCCTGTAAAGTCATATTTTCGTAAGAATTCGATTATATAAATAATCTCAAAGTTACTTGTAATTACCTGGTTATAAATAATTTTTTTTATAGATTCATCTACAAATATTAGCTATAATGAGCACCCATTTTGAAAGCGACAATTAGTAAACGATTTCTGCGAATAGTATGTACGTACGTACCTCTGTGAAGAAGCCTAGTGATTTGTACATAGTATTTGTTACACATAAAAGCAATTTAATCCAATCAGTGTTAAAAACCCAATATTTTTGCCCTTTACAAAAACTCAACGTTGAAAACAAGCATCCAGACGCAGACTATTTATTTTACAGCATAGCAACACTTGTTAAGTGTCATTTAATTTTTACTTAATTAATTACTAGTATAATAGTGCGTTTTTTTATTTTATATTTTCTTTATACATATTTTTGTACCTCATTGTAGAGATATAATTACAAATTGCTGTGTGTAAAATACATTAATTTCTTATCCTCATCGGCATTTTTACTCAGTCCCCACGTTAAAAAATGTATTTCTAATAAATAATTCAGTATAGAGATCTAACTTTTATTATGTAAAAATATCGATAAACAATATATCGATATAGGTTATATCGATAAAATTATTGGTGGATAGAAATCACAGCACTATTGGAATTCGATAATGTTGTATGCAGTGTTTGTATGGAGTGTAGAGAGAAGGAGGACCATCTCTATACAATGAAAAGTGTCCCTAAAAACGTGTCCAATAAGGGTGGTGCTGCAGTAGCATAGGATAAATTTAAAAAAAAAAGCGCCAAAAGTAATTAGAATAAGATGGAGAAATAAACAAGGACCGACCAATCCGCTTGGTTTTGTAATACGTAAATAGTTGAGATTTTGTATACTGGAATTTTACTAACTACTCTAATCATGAAGTTTTTTAAATATTTGAATTCAGCTGACTTTACTCCGTTCACAACAGCTATCTTCATATCGTAGTTTTTCAGACGCTAGCGCTATTGTGGTAGGTTTTGGAACCTCTATTTTCAGTAAATAGTAGGACACTTTTTCAACTTTCGCCCCTTATAAAATGGTTCTCCTTGTACTCTACACTCCATAAGTGTTTGTCAAAATAATGTCATATCTTGCTGTAGGGATGGGCAAGGGGAATAATTATATCGATATGTATCAAACCAATATTTTAAAACAGTATCGATGTATATCGCGTTATAAATATCGATATATCGTCATCCTTTTCATGATGTAAAGATAAGATCCAATATTTTATATTACTGACGGTTGGACGACAAAAAAAGCGACAACCAACCTCAACCTCCTTTTGTTGTATCATGTAGTTTTGTCATTATTACAATATTTTAAAATATATCGAAATTAATATGAATTCAATATTCTAAAATAAATATCGATATATCGCAATTTAAAATATCGACGATATATATCGATATTTTTTGACCAAGCCTATCTTGATGTTGGTATAGTAGCTTGGCGTACTTTCATGCATTTAGCATTTACTTTTACTATGGAAGTCCCGCCTCTTAAACGTAGTGATAATATTTTCTTTGGGACTGACTTTCTATGGCCACACAGATCCTAAATGATATGCACACCTAATATTTACCTTGTTATTTTTCCTCTTTCAAAAAATTAATTTTGCAGTTTGATATTACATATGTACATACATATATATAATCACGACTCTTTCCCGAAGGGGTAGGCAGAGACCACTTCTTTCCTTTCTTTTCAGTTTTATATTTCACTAAAGAAACGTCTGAATAATGCAGAACCCGCGAAGGAAAGGATATTTGATATTTACCGCATCGATGTATCGATGCGGTAAATATCAATATTTTCGGACGTGGATAGATTGATATTTATCGGTTTTCCGATCACAGAGTACTTTTTATATACTGAAACTGTTTTCCGATATATCGTTGCATCCCTGCCGACAACTATTTTTTTTTTCATATAAAACGGGTTTTCAATTTTTGCTCATTTTTGGTTTTGGTTATGAAGTGGATTATTTTATTTGTTAGTTATTAGTGTTAAAAGCATATAATATTTTAAAAGTAATCATGAGTCGTGAAAAAATTAAAGTAAGTATTATTGTAATGTACATAATAATAGTAACCGGCATTTTTTGTTACTATCCTAACCTACGGTGATATTCAATAATGTACCCGCAATTGTATCCAGATTATTGGTTTTATTAGCCACTTCTACTATGTTTTAAAGTTTAAATTGTTTATAACCATAATAAAATAGGGAAGCGCTGTGCAATAGCTTCCGCCGCTTTTTATAGTAGCAATTTTCTTGGTAGAAGGAAAGGGTCTACCTTTTTAGAGTAATTTTGAAGTTAGCGAACTGATCAAAACCATACGTAACTGAAAAAAAAATTGCGAAGTTTCTTTCCAGGTTCGTGGCAGTAGTAAGGGTGGGAAAAATCATGTGATGGGTCTAAACTTATTTTCATGTAATAATGAGGTCAATGACATCTTTAAGGTCAAGGTCAAAAACTCAGAAGTCAAAGTCAAACATTCTGAAAGTCAAAATCAATTCAAAATATGCTAAAATTTTGGAATACTGTCTTATAACAAGCTCTGAAGACAACAACATTTTTGAGGTTTATGTCAAAGGTTAAGGTCAAATAAAAAAATATTTAATTAATCTTTAGTCCACAACAGTAAATAAAAATAAAACAGTAGTAGTAAAATCTAAATATTGTAATAAAGCGTAATGGACGGACCCACACTTCTATTTCTGTCTGAAGGGTTTAAAATTTGCTACATGAAGGGGATGTCGCTAACCCCTTGGAACCTAACCTGTTCGAATGGGGGTGTCCACAAGTTACAAGCTCCTAAGTTGCGTGCTTGTATTCTAAGTTCTCCTTTCTTCTATGTTGAGCTGTGTTATTTTGGAATATTTTGTTTGTGTAGTGTATAATGTAATAGGGTGACATAAAAGAATAACAAATCATATTATCTACTTTATAATTGAGTTTAATATATTAGCAACTATATAAAAATTAATTAAAGTTAGAAAGTTGAAATATATAAACTAAAATCATTAAAATCCTCTGTCACTTTATCTGAATGTATATAATGTATAACGGAAGAACCTAGGAGTGAAATTCATACATTATCTGTGGTAAAATAACATAATATGATTATGTAAAAAAGCTTTTTTTAAACATATTTTTTTTTCTCAAAAGCAGGCTTCTCAATGGGATTTTTATTTTAAAGAATTTTACATGAAAAGATCTATACGAAAAAAAAATACGACAGCTTCTAAAATGGCGAAAACCTTTGTAAAGTGGTGCCTAAAATAGCATTCTATTTTATTTTTACAATAGTAAAACATTAATTTAACAAAGAAAGTAAAAAATAATAAAGTAAAAGCAAAATAATAAGTGCACCTCCGGGTGTTCCAACACTATATTTTTGAACAGCCTATAATTACCTATAATACGGCAGATTAATCATTTTTTTATCACAAATGCAAGTCTTATTTATTAATTATCACTTTAATGCACATACACAAGAGCCGTGGTAGCTCAGATGGTTAGCGCTCGCTGTAAACTTCACAGTACTCGAGCAACCCGGGTTCGATCCGCGCCGGCACCAATGAAATTGTTAATTGCAATTTTAAGTGCTGATTTACCACGTGCACGGTGGTGAAAGTAAACATCGAGGAGGAAACCTACATATCTGAGTAATAAGAAAAAAAATATTTCAAAGACATGTAAAGTTCGCCAACACGCATTGGGGCAGCGCCGCGGACATTTCCTTGCCCTAAAACCCTCTCAGAAATGAGAGGAGGCCTGTGCCCAGCAATTGGACGTAAATAGGCTGCAACTTTACTTTACTTTTTTAATGCACATTATTGGTGGTACATAAGGCGAACTTAATGTCATAATGCATTATTATTATTTTACAAAGTTCAATCAATACTACGCTTTGGTATTTAGTACAAATAAAATTAAAAATGAACTTAACAACACCCCAACTTGAAAACAATGCTAACCAACAACTAAAAAATTAACAAAAAACAAAGCAAAAACTTTTGTAACTGATTGTCTTCAAGACAAAGATAATAACACGAACATCAAACCGAATGCTAACGTGTGACTGAGACACATTACCTCAGACCTAGTAGTACCAAACAAGCATGAAGTTAACAAAAAGAGATGTGCGTTTGTGTGATGTGTTATTAGTTAAATCAAGTGAAATTAAGAAATATAAACATATTTCTATTCAATTTTATATCAGTTTTACGTTTCTCAGAATAAAGTAGTTTTTAGTAGATTACTGAAATTTATGTACATCATATCTTTTAATCTAGCAAATTTTCTTTAAAGAAGAGCAAAATCTTATTATTAATAACAAATATTAATTTGGTATTCATTATATTAGAAATTTCTTTTGAATAAGTCGAATGAAACCAGTCAATTACTATATTCAATCGTATAAAGCCCCGCCCCGCGCTTGCTGCCTCATACCATCATTTGGTTCCATAATAATGTAACGTGCAGGTATTGGCACGAAGTTCAGACTGGTGAGGACTCATTGGCTGTATCATACACATTGTTCATATTTGCAAGCAATTTATATTTTACATTTAATGTTTCCAAATGGTATGATATTGTATTTAAATTAGTAAAAAGTATTAGTTTAATGTGATTTAATCAGATTAACTAAAGATATTGCTTTGCTTTTTAAATAAGTGATTGGTTTAAAATCAAGAATTAACTACTACATAACTGCCATAACTCTTGAATAGGTACTGCTAACTCATAATCACTGTATGTAAAATTATATTTATTTTCTAAATGTGGAGCAATTACATTTTATCTACATTATCATTGAAGCAGAATATTAGATTTGTTTTTCTTAAAATTTTATCTAGCTAGAAATTAAGGGGTTGGCTTAAGTATCCTGCAGTATGATTTCATTGCTTATTTTGTTCATAATTGATGTACAATAATGCTCTAATGTACACCCTTGCAGGTTTTTACACAGGTATGTGTAGTTTTCAAGGAATTACTTTTCAATGTTAATCAGAGATTAATTTATTACTCAAATTTTCCTAAATGATTAATTGTTACTGTAAATCCATTATCAACCTGCGCTTTGGCGTCCTTACATTGCTGGACAGTCCTTTGATCGTTACACATGCCTGTGTTTAAGTCAGTGACATGTATAGCAGTCCACAAAACTTTTAAATCTCAATGAAAAACAGATTTTGTTATAATCTATGGTAGCCTAGTAATAACACTGTATCTGTTGGTCTTTAACTTTGTTGATTGGCTTCTTGTGACGGACAAATCCATGCTGAAGACTATAGAGCCCTGGTTGCAGTAAATTGCTTTTTCAATACTTAATACAGCTCATATTGAAGTTGCATAAGCCTCGCTGCAAAATTTAGGCTTTGGTCATTACTGAAAATCATCTTTGTGGTTATACCATAACTCATACTGAGTGATCTGTCTTTATTTCAAAAATGCTGGGTTCTGGGTCAGAACAGAACAAGAAAGTTGGTCTTGTCTAGTCAGATATTTTAAAAAAGTAGCATGTAGTGGCGGAATAAGAGAATCCACCATACTAATTCATTCCCTGTGCGTCATAAGAGGCAACAGAGACAGCGGATGGGAAAACACACTTTATAAGCATGTCAATTGTGGCAAATACCCCGCCATGGGGCATTGTATGGAGGAGGCCAATGTTTTGTAGTAGTATATATTTTTTTAAATAGAATTGATAGCGTTTAATTGGCATCGGTAGAGAGGCAATTGAATAACTTTGTGTCCATGCTCTAGGGCCAGTTCATTGATTATATAAAAAGTATTGGAAGGCTTAGTTGTTTTTATTAAGTTCAATAATATTAATAATAATAATAAGCCTCTTTATTCTGAACTTCTCGGTTAAATATGAATAATAGACATGTTCTTGTTTGTTGTAATATGTCCCGAAGGTCAGTTTGCCTTTTCGCATAGTCTCCGGGATACCAGTCAGTAACAGTTTTGCACCACTTCTCTTGTGGATCACGCATCATGTGACCTGTCCATCTCCACTTTTGTTGGTCTATTGGGGTTATTATATTGACAACTTTGCTTTTGTCCCTTATTATGCTACATCTTACTCTGTGCTGTTTCCTTACTCCTGTCAAACTTCTCTCCATGGCTCTCTGACAGAGTTCCAACTTTTCTCTGTGGTGTTTGGTGAGTGCCCAGGTTTCGCATCCGTAAGTAATGACTGGAAGTATACACATGTTGAAAGCTTTCCTTTTTTATTTGTATACTTAGCATCTTAGATTTTAAAACTTCTTTCAAAGACCAGTATTTCTTCCATCCATTTCCTATTCTTTGCTCAATTTCCTTAGTGGTTTGATCTTTGTGAGATATTATCTGTCCTAAGTAGATATAGTCTGACACATATTCGAGTGGTTGGTTGTCAATTTTTATAATTACTTGTTTAGAGTTTGTAAGCAGTTTTGTTTTGTCTTTGTTCATGCTTAGGCCCACTTTCAGGCTTTCTTCATTTAGTGATTCTATAATTTTAACAAGATGCTTTAAAATGAAAGTTCAATAACTCAACTTTTAATGAAGTTCGACTTGGATCCACATTATTTCTTCCCATCCTAGATATAATTTCTTTATTTTTATTTGCTTGAGTTAGTGGTTTGTCAACTTGGACTGAATGGTAATGAAGTATTGTCCATTACAATTTTCGATGGGCTTTGTAGGCCGACAAGCAACTTTCCAAACCACTCATTAAAACCTCGAAATTCATTTCTTTATGGTAATCACTTGTAGTTTTAGACACAAATACAAGGAGGCACTCTGTGTCAATAAATCTTTCACAATACCTGCCTCATAATTACGTAGGCTCCTTTTCTAGATGGAACTTGAGGTTGGGGCAGCTGTATGGTGGTTATGACTCAACCATGTTATACATATCAAGATACATAACATTGTCCCAATCTGTAATGTATATTTACTTGTCATAAGAATGTTACTCTGTAAAAAAATATTGTGACATTCAAGCAGGATTTTCTTCTTTTAAAGAACCCAATAGCTTTTTTTTTATGTAGGATGCACCTTTCTTGAGTATAATATATGTATATAAATGTGGTTGTAAGAGCTTCTTTTTTTGTCTTTCTTTCTTTTCTTCAGTGTACTTTTTCTCTTCTGAGTAATCTAATAACTAAGCCATAATATTATTATATAATGTAAAATAATGAAATACTTAAAAGCATGAAATAAATTTTTAAACTGTTGTTTCAGATAGTTGCAATACTTGTATTAATATGTATACATGTATCAGTTCAAGTGAAAAAACAGAAAACACATCTCCTAACAGACATAAATGATATAAAGGAGTTCAAAAAGTTATTGAGGACTAAGACTAATGTGTTGATTCTATTTATGAATGCGCCAAAGTCATCACAATCTATATTAGCTGTTTTTAAAGAGACTGCAGATGCTATGAAAGGTCAAGCAACATTGGTGTCAATTGATTGTAGTAACAGGTACAGATCATATATATATATATTTTTATTTATTTCAATTTTTTGTCAAAGAATCAAATACTGAGTAACTATTTCTAAAATGTATTTTTCTATCTCTCTGTCTGTTCAGACTTCTTTTTGGAACTTTAGCTGAAATCATTGTAATGAAACTTCATGCAAAGATACAGAGCAATGCCAGGTGTGATCTTGGTTATATTTTATCGAAAAAATTGGAGCTTAAAAAATTAAACAATTAATAAAATAAATGGTTTCTGAAGATTACTCAAATCAAAATAACACCACAATGATAGATCCCACCGAGGCAAATTGAGAATGAAAAATTGAAGACTTTTAGGAATAAACAGGCTCTTCTTTACTTGGAAGTAAAGGCTTAGAGAGTTGGGGGGGTGACTCGAACTTTAGGCCTATCATCTAGAGGATGTCATGGGGGTCATGGTTGAATAGGGGCAAAAAGTTCTCATTACACTCCTAGGGGGTCAAAATGTCCAAAAATCAAAAAATTGGGGGGTGGCTCGACCTTTAGGCATAGTCAGTTTGAATAACCAATCATGTAGAGGATGTCATAGGGGTCATCGTTGAATAGGGGCAAAAAGTTCTCATTACACTCCTAGGGGTCAAAATTGCCAAAAACCAATAAATTAAAAATTCTTACTTCGGCTATATTTCCGCCTCCTTCAGAGGTTCTTACACAGTCTTTACTTCCCGCATTCAACTTGTTACATTGAAGTAAATATATTATAGAAACTAACTTAATATATATACTGACATAAAATTTATTATAATATTTGGAATTGGTCTACCAAATCTAATTCACCTAATAATTAGAACAAGGCACCAAAATTTATGATTTTATTGTTACTATGTTTTTTCAGTGAAAGCAAAAAATTGTGCAAAAAGTTGAAAGTAGGTTCCGACAAGCCGTATTATATTAAACATTTCAAAGACGGCGAATATCATAAGGATTATGATAGGAGCGAGACAGTATCGTCTTTTTCAAACTTCCTCCGCGATCCGACTGGTGACTTGCCGTGGGAGGAAGATCCTGAGGCAACCGATATATTTCATCTCCAGGACGGAGAGGTGAGATGAATACTTGAATTATGAATACTCATTTTACTTGTGAGAATAATTGTAACAATATTTAAGTAATGATTGTTACATATGAATAATATATATTGAAATAAGCTAATTGTATGGATTTCACCGCTTTTAATTTTTATTATACATTATACCGATGGTTCAAGTGCTTTGTCCATAGTTAGTGGACTAATGTGTATGACATACTTATGTCTGCCCGGTGACTAATTGATTTCAGTAGCTAAAATATCATAATATAATAAATTAAAAATATCATTAGTCTCTTGTGTTTTATCTTTTATTTCATAATGTTGCAATAAAGAATGAATACTTAAATTCAAAACAAAATGTTAATTCATAAATGGTTATTATTATTATTCACAATCATTTATTTAATTCACTCAAACACTAAAAGGCTTTGCCATTGATTGCATGTTGAACAAAATAAATCTGTAATGCATGCCGTCAATACCAAGATAGTCTGAACTAAACTGAAACTAGAAATATAAATGTACACTAAAAATATCACCACATAGTAATGATAAGTTACAGGAAATACTCAAATTTGTTTGTGTAAGTCTAAAATTGTAGTAAATCACGGCCTTTAATGCTAACAAAATCATAAGCATTACACAGTTAACAGTTAACAATCGTAATCTGAATTAGTGGTAAGAGGCCATCATAACATAAAAGTTATTGTTTCAGGCGTTAATGAAATTCCTAAGAAAAGGTGCAGCAGCTTACAAAAAGTCTTTGATCATGTTTTATGCACCGTGGTGTGGTTATTGTAAAAGCTTGAAGCCGGAGTATGTTGCTGCAGCGGGAGATTTAAAGGTATAATTCTTACATACGTGCACAACTGTCACACCTGAAACTTAAAGGTGTAGGAAGAGAATATGGAAATTTATTTGGCATGATCCTGACACAGACCTTACCCTTCCTTTACCTCCATATTCACATACATACTACACTCGCTATACTGTACTCACATACATGTTCGTCAATATGCATACATATCGTTCGCATTTTTTTTATAGGAGAGGGGCAAACGAGCATGCGGCTCACCTGATGGTAAGTAACTACCGCCGCCGATTAACAACTGCAACACCAGGGGAATTGCAGATGCGTTGCCGGCCTTTTAAAAAGGAGTAGAAAGGAGTAGGCTCTTCTTGAAGTTTCCTAAGTCGTATCGGTCCGGAAAAATCGCTGGTGGTAATCGATTCCATAAGGAAGTTGTGCGAGGAAGAAAACTTCTAAATCGCACAGTGGTGGACCGCCAATCATCTAGATGGTATGGATGGTATCGCGAGTTATGTCGCGATGTGCGATGGTGAAATTGAGCGGCTGGAATAAGTCCGAACAATTCCTCAGAGCACTCCCCGTGGTAGATGCTATAAAATACGCAAAGAGATGCAACATCTCTACGCAGTGCCAGTGAGTCAAGCCTATCGGAAAGAATTCGGTCGTCGACGATTTGAACCGCTCTGCGCTGGATGCGGTCAAGTGGAAGGAGCTGGCACTGGGAAGCCCCTGCCCAGAAGTGGGAACATTAATCCATGTGAGGCCGAAACTGCGCCTTGTAAAGTTGCAGGCGGTGTGCCGATATGAAATACTGTCCCGCTCTGCTGAGCACGCCAATCTTTTTAGAGACCAATTTGGCCTTCTCTTCCAAGTGACCACGAAACTGCACGTCACACGATATGTCGACACCGAGGATTCCGATACTGGCTGAGGCAACAAGGGGAGTGTCTTGAAACTGAAGAGATACGGCAAAGGGGTTGTTTTTAGCGGAAAACGCGCAAACGCGCAAACTTGTCTGCTGGGGATTGAACTGGACTAGATTTAGTCGCCTCCAGTCTGAGACTTTGTTCAACAAAGTCTCGACTTCAGACACAAGTTAGTCACATAACATAGTTCGGCAGCAGAAATAGGTATGGGAGTGGTACCTACCCAGAACTACATCTGCTATTTTCCTCTGGAGCCCACTTTACACGTATTCCAACACCACTGATGTAATTAATTTATAATAAAATTTTTTTTTTTTAAATATAAAAACAAGTTACAAACAAATTTATACTTAGGTCATCTGATGGTAAGTGGCTACTGTAGTTCACCTCTGAAGACTAGGATGGAATGCCTCGCAGTATGTAATATGGCTATGGAAAAATAACAGTGCAAGCATTCGGTGGGAGAAAATGTGTAGGGAGTGGTACTTATGTAGACGGACTCCAAACGGACGGCCACAAAATGCGTTCTATCGCCTAGTGTAATATATCACTTAAATGCAGAAATTCAAACTATATGTTATTCTATTTTAGGGCGAAGCACTACTAGCTGCAATTGATGTCTCTAAGCCTGGCAATTCTCAAATAAGGCAGTTGTACAACATAACCGGCTTCCCCACCCTTCTATATTACGAGTGAGTGATATTTTATAATTTCATTTATCACATATATCCATACATAATTTTAATGATAATTATTTTCATATGATAAACATTATAGCTATTGCGGAAATGTCTCATAGTAAGTAGATATAAGTGATACATGCGTTATAAGAGGAATCCATTTAAATCGATAATGTTAAATATTCTATATTTAATGTTTTTATAACCTTTTTAAGTATGCCTTAAAAACCAGTGATAGTTTTATCTATCACTGGTCCCTAAATGGATTAGTTTTGTGTATATAATATAAGGGTGCATACAGATTAAGTAACATGTTGTGTAACTTTTGTTTTATAACACGTCCACATTATGTAACATTGTTATTCAACATTGCAACATATAACAATACTGTACACATTAGAATAACAATGCCATATAACAATGTTATATGACATTGTCGTTTGTCGTTCTGCCGTTCGAGTTATATAATATTTGTGCCACGTTATATAACACGTTTTATAACATTCAGCCTCCACAATGCTGAAACATGTTATATAACAACGTAAAAAATGTTTATAACATGTTATGTTATACAATGTGTACACACCGTAACAAATACATTTTATGGGTTTGCTTTTTTCACTAAGACAGAAATTCTTGTATCGGTATAGAGTTACAGAAAAACATGGCAGTTGTGATGAATACTTAGCTTGTGAGAGGTTCCTACTTTTACATTTTTTTCTTAAGTTGACGCTTAATATGTTCTGTTTCTTCAACGTCAATTTAAAAAAAAACATCCATTTTTGTTTATATATCAAAGATTTTTCCTCCAGATTCTGAAGAAATTTTTCCAACCCAGCAAAAAGAAAGAAAAGAGACTTTTCATCCATATTCTTTAAAAAAAAGAGGTTTAGCTTGGAGCCTTTTAATAATTTTTTTCTGATAATATAGGTGCTGCTGTATTTTTCTTTTTCTAGGTGTAAGTGCATTGGTAGGAATCGAAATATAATTTTTAGAGGTTTCCTTTGACTTAGCCTGAAAAATAAATTGGCTATATTATGCTGTTATCACCTTTCTATGCAGCTTGCCCAATCTCAATAATGAAATAGTAGAAATTACTATTTGATAAATATGTACCTAATTATTTTAATTAAACATATGACCTACAGTAAACTAATAAAAGGAAACTAGCATGTGGAGGACTATGTTGTACATGCAGATGACATTGAATAGTAATAGTGGCACTAATGGCATCGTAAGATGATAGTCTGCCATCTGGTAGAGTGAAATGATAATTGCTGGCTCTGGAAAATTTGATTTAACATTGTACATTTTTTGAAGTGGAGAAACCTGAGCTTCATCTCACAACTATGACTAAACCACATACTACACTATATTACATATCCAACATTTTACGGGTGACGCGGTGGCGGTGGGGCATTACATCTTAGTCTGTCTATATCTGTATGTATAATCTGTCTGTGTCCACGGGCCACAGTTTACTTATCATCAGGTTGACTGTACGCTAGTTTGCCAATCACCTTCTATTGTTCGGAAACACTTGAAAGTCAGAGGTGGAAATGATCTGAGCAAATGACACTGTTTTAAAAATTAAATAAATATACATTGATTTATTTAAATATTTCCCTGAGCTATCATGACAGTACTAATTGTTGTTGGTCCTGGATGTTGTCTAAAACTACTAGCATAATGTAATCTAGAGCTATATATAAAAACTAGCTGTTCTCCGCGACTTCGCCCGCGTTTTATTTGGGGTCTTAATTTTTTTTGCGCGGAACCCTAATTCTTTTTCTAAAATAAAAGTAGCCTAAGTTACTACTTGTGACAGCTATCTGCCAGTGAAAATCCCGTCAAAATCGGTCCAGCCGTTTAGGAGATTAGCCGGAACAAACAAACAGACAGACACACTGACAAAAATTGTAGTTATGTTATTAGTACCGTATATACTTTCATATGCATTTAGTAAAAAGCTGTAATTTTGACATTACAAACAGACACTTCAATTTTATTTATTTGTATACATTATTCTTTTCTATTCTTCCAGGCATCCCACTTTTTACTCAAGCTATATCCACAGTTTTAATCCTATGATATTTTCTACTTCATTCTTGTTCAGCACTGAGCACTTGCTGCGTCGAAAAATATCTTGAAATAATTCAGCTATTGTTATTATGATTAGTATAAATTTGGATGTAATAACATAAAAAAGAGTGAACATTTGATTCAATTCTTAGGAAGGGTCAATATCGGTTCGCATACAACGGCGACAACAAGCGACAGGCCATAGTGGATTTCATGAAGGACCCAACATCTCAAGTGCAGCAGAAGAAAAAAGAAGTGGCCGAGGAGAGCTGGTCCCAGGATTCGGATGTGATTCATTTGACAGGTAAAAATTAAGTCTATTTAGTAGAGTGGTTCGCTTTTTTGTTTTTAGGTTATGGCTGGAGCACAAATGTGTTGGATTGATCAGTGAGGGATCACACTCTTACTGAATAATCATCATTATTTTTATTATATCCCCTTATAAGTTTACTACTGAATACAGGTCCCTCAAAAACATGGCTCCAGCCACCTGTATCGCTTATCAGGTCGTCACACCATCTAGCGGATGGCCGCCTGTTTACCGGTACGAGGTTGCCACTGTAGAACCTTTCGTACCCATCTGTTGCTGGATGTTCATGGCCATTACCACTGCAACTAAGTTATCTTTGCTTTTGTTTTGCTATGCTGGGTCTCTATTTCTGCTGCAAATATTTTTATTATCGGATTATATCTCGCAGAGAAACTCCAAGTGTTGCTTACCTTAGCTTCCTGAGCGACGATGATGAAGGTGAATGATGTAAAAACGCAAATCCTTTTAATATTGAATACAGTGGAATCCGTTTATATATATGACATTGAAGGGAAATAACAAACACGTCATACTAAGCGGACGTCATATAAAGTATTTTGTAGAAAATAAACAATCTCCAGTTTTTGTTAGTATGTATTTATTCTAATAGAGAAAAATCTTTAATTAAAGTAACTTAAATTCTTAATAATAAATTCTTGTTTTTTAAAATCATTGAGATTGTCGAGTGACCGACCCCAAATTCTGCACGTGCACTGACGTTGAAATTTCATTTTTTCACAAATCACTAACAAACAATGTAGTGGGCCGTTTATTATAAAGAATTTTATATGAAAACCAAACTTCGCTGTGTAATTACGACATAATAAGCGGTTGGTCAATATAAGCGGAGTCTATTCTACTGTACTTTAATATTACTATTGGGATGTTTCGTAGGGAGTATCCTGATACCCCATTTATATCCTCGCGCGAGCGACGAGGCGATTCGCGAGGCGAGCCACGAGGCGCTCGCGTCCCAGCCGGTTGTTTGGGCACGAGGCAAAGGGCCTCGCGAGGGACGCGAGCGTGCTGTTTACACTCGCGTCTCGTTTCAGTTTGTTTACGGCGCCCTTCCATAATAACATTCGAATTGCTTTTGATTTAAAATTACAATTTTAATAAAATAATATTAATTAATCTTGCACAATATGTACTAGCAATTTATATAAAATTATGAAACTGAAAAGGTTCTGTTTCGATGAATAGATATCATCCGTCATATTCTTCCTCAACGACGTATTTTTATTAATTTCCTTTTTTTTTAAATGGTCAAACATCGATAAATACTTATTAAGGCAAGAGTTGACGCCGCTATTATTTCGACGTCATTCATCGTTGCTGACTCAACGCAAACTGCACAGAGTACTTTTTATAAACTGGAATAGAGACCAATCTCCGACACCAAAATGAGCAACGTGTTTTAGCGACATCTGGATTTTGTTATTGGCAACTTTTCAACGAAAATATTTTTTTGTAGATATTTTCATTATTTGGTATTCAAAATTCTGCGCTGAATTAATTAATATTGGTAACTAATCGACTAATTGTTATAGATAGAAGATTAGCTACCAATGTCAATTCAGCGCTGAAAAAGGGCAAACTTTGCGTAAACTATAAGGCTTCAGAAATAAAACAAAAAAACTTTTTAATTTTTATCTTTTATTTTTCAAAAACTTTTTATAATAAGAGTGAGCCATTAATTGTATACTATCATTATTATCATCCACGCTCCTTTTGCCAAAAATAATTTTATTTATATCTTTACAATAGTTATACATAAAGAAAATAATAATTTGGTCAATCAAAAATTCTCTTAACTTTATTTTATGAACAGGACAATCAAGATAATTTAAATTTATAAGGCATGAAGCTATAACTTTTGTGTACTCTTTCAGTAAAGGTTTTTCTATATATTTTTTTAACATATAATTACATATATCCTGCATTTCAGATAATGTCTTTAATAATAAATCGTTTGGGCTGTGAAGCCAATTTCGACCTGCAAATTCTCGATGTTTAATATAATCTTTTTCATTTATATTACATATGTTGTTATGACATGCCTTACATCCCCTCCAAATCTTTTGTTTAGATTTTTTTATAAAGTATCCACTTACATATTCCAATGGCGCCATTATTCTAGGATCGCTTTTAGACGCCAATGGTACTAATTGAATTTCTAATACGTCATTAATATCAACTTCACAGGTCTTATTGACTTCACTGTCCTTATTTATTATTAGAGAATATAATGATTCACCATTATCATTTTCACAGTTAGATCCTGGAGCATGAACACTTGTTAAATTGTTTATTAGGAGTGTAGCAAATGCAGACTCAAACTGTTCTGTTGTTGGATTATTGTTGCGGCACCCATGACTACGAATGGCCCCAAAGAAATTTTCTAAAGGGTCTTGGTTAAGGTGCCGCATCCAAACAGAAGTTATTTTATAATCTTTTTCCAACTTCGCAACAATGTCTTCCATGCCATTAATGGTAGTTATCCAACTCTGTACTGTTGGTACAAATTCTGTTTTTAGGCTCTTTTGATTTACAAATTGTAATGTCTGAAGTATTTTTTTACCCTCCGTCCAAATTTTTTTATGAATTGACGTGGGTGTTACTGGACCGAGTAAAGGTTTAACATATTTATTTTTTGGATAACTACCATTTACGGAGTCAAATAAATTATCCATAAAAAAAAGAAAATCTGCAGTCTCCTTACATGCTTCAGGAAGAATGCCTTTATCTGAAAGTAAATAAAAAAATATATTGTGATATAAATAAATACACCTTGGGTTTTAAAAGTATAAGTTACAGTTGTTGCATTAATAAATGCAATTGAATTATCTCACATACTAAATTTTACATTCTAATTTCTTCGAATTGTGTATCTTTATATATAGGTAACAGACTAGTTTTATTAAAGTGCACAATATATTGATTAACTATGTGCTAAGTGGTGAAGGAAATCATTGTAAGAAAACCTGCTTGTTGTAGCTTGTCGAAGACAAGTGAAGTCACAGAAATTGGCAGGCATGTGCCCAACAGTGGGATGTATATATTTGATTATTAATTTTTAATTATTAATTTATAAATTATAATTATTAATTTGTTGTTACGGATGGATGCAATTTTAAAAAAAATTGCATATAAAATGTCACTTTTTTTTTCTTATAGGATAAGGGTGACAAACGAGCATACAGTCCACCTGATGGTAAGTGGTTTCTGCGGCCCATAGACATCTACGTCTATCCTCGATTATAAATCAAAATGCAGAAGCGTTGTAACCCCTGAGGACTAAGATGGAATGCCTCATTTCCAGTAAAAAGGGTCTCCGGTTTTCAACACTCACCATACAAAACACAGCAGCGTTAAGCTGCTATTTTACGCTGCTATTCTGTGAGAGCGTGGTACCTCCACGGTCGAGCCGACCCATTCGTGCTACAACTATACTACTAATATAGCTGCAGCATGGCTCCACCATATAAAGATTGTGTACTAGATTTGCTGTAAGCCACAAGTTTTTGAATTAAATAAATAGATATATGCTGTAGCTTTACTTTTAACTTTTACATTTATTATTAAGTAACTATTTTAATGATTTTAAAAACTATTTATATACCTGCGAGATATCCCATATTGGATGAGATTGTTCGGCTGAATATTTGACTGGCGTATTTGACTTTCATTTTTGGTATTTTGGTAGGAATTATATGAGTTTCCGTTAACGTAGGCATAAGCCTTATGCCTTTGTAGCCAGGATTTTCTTTATAGAGTAGTTCTAAATGATGCCATTTAGCTGTGCCAGGTTTTCCATCCATTTTGTAATTAAGGTTTTTAGTAAGAAGATTGTTTCTTATACCTTTTAATAAATGAGGTGGATCAAATATTGAAACAATTTCTTGAGAATTTATAATAAAAATATTATCTCGAGGCATTTCCGTTTCATTTTGGCATAAATATGACCTCCTTGTCTCCTCTTTGAGGATTTTGATTGCTTGCCTATTATTTGTGCCTTGGTCACAGATAGTAGCTAAAACTTTAAAGCCAACTTGCTGCAGTTCAGTAATAATTTCTTTTATTTGTTTAGCTAATTCACAACCTTTTGTCATACCTGATGAGAAGGTATAGGCTATTGGTTGCTTAAAATTTTTAATAAGGCCCCGGATTAAGAAAACCTGAGCATGATCAGCAAGGATTTTCTTAGCTTCCTGTCCATCTGTTACAAAACCACTCACTGCATCTTTTCTTCTATTATAGGTAATACTTGCCCGTAACTGCATTTCATCAAACACGAGAGCACACAATTTGTGTTCATCTTTCATTTTTTCAGCTCTTATCTTTAATTGTGAAAAAATATTTTTGTTTATCCCAGGTCTTAATGTACACCTGTTTAACATTTTTAAAAGAATTTGAGGTGATGGCAGAATAAACATTTTTCTCAAAAAGCGGTAAGCTTTGGGACTTTGCTTCATCATTGTCAGTGCAAGAATTTTTTCCTCAGTAGAAAATCTTCTGCCTTTACTCTTTTTTTTATATTCTCTAAATTGCACTAATGTTAATAATTTTGCAGAGGTAGTCCAATTATCCATTATTTTGAGAAATTTTGGATTGGTAAACAGTTTTTTTGCAGATTTCAATTCACCACTTTGTTTCATAGCCTTATTCTGACATTTGGAGAGTTTCATTTTTAAAGCCCTGATCTTTCTGTGTAGCTCTTTCTCAGACTTTGTAGCAATTACACGTTTTGTCAGTTTCTTTACAGCATTAACTTTATTTTCACCTATAAAAAAGGTAAAGCATAAGTAATTTCAATTATTATTTAATAAATTTAAAAAAATATGTTGTATAATATATTAGCATACATCATTTATTTTATTACAGAAATAAAATTGTTAGTGTTATTTTAAGTGGTGATTTACCACATACTTGGCGGTGAAAAAAAATTATTAGGAAACCTTGAAGAAAATATATATTCATACTTGAAGAAAAAATATATTTAATACATATAATGTGTCAATATGGATGGATTAACACATTGTGTCTGACTAACTGCTGCTCAACCTTCTCTAATATTAGAGGAGGCCTGTTCCCAGCAGTGGGATGTATATAAGCCACTTACAACTAAGTGGTTTAGCATGTCTTATATAAATGTAGAAACTGCTGACAGACTCAATAAGAAAATGAACATTGCACCCTGGGGAGGGTACCCTAATGTCCTCTTCCAAGTTATAACTTGAAAATCTGCCAAATTTTTCTCATTCCATTCAGATTTTTCCTTAGCATCCAAATCGACAAATTTTTACATTTATAATACAAGTAATTATGTTACTCATATTGTTCTGTTGTATCTCAGGGGTAGCACTCTCTTTAAAATTTCATAATACCAATGAAATGTTTAAATGAAGTTATAAATACTGATTTACTAGATGTTTGGCGAAGCAAACCATACTAATGTATTTTTATATTTATTTAATTTATATTAATTAATAATATTACATACCAACAATTGCAATCACATTTTCTTTACTTTGGTTAATACTTTGCGTTAAAGCCGCCTCAGATGCAAAATATACAGGATCTGTAACAATGGAATTTATATCCATATAAAATGATGTACCTTTAGAATGCTTGTATGTATAAAATTTCTGTGACATATTTTTCTTTATCAAATGAAATTAATGTAGTCCGTTAAATGTGTTAACATAATATTATTGAAATAATAAAAGTTTATAGTAACTCAATTTCATACTAACAGTTCATGCCCTAGAATTCGATGTATAACAAGCTAAAATACTAATTTTTTCCTCATAATATAGACCTATTAGTATTGTATAGATAAACTATAATTAAACTTTGTAAAAAAAAAACTGTCTTCAAAAACTAAAAAGAAAAGAACAATCTCTACATAGTTTAAAAGCTTCTGAAATCAGGACTATAATTCTTCAATACACTTTGTCCTAGCAAGAACTTCACAAGCTATTAAGTTGTATGTAAATTATTCCATTCTGTTTAGTCTATTGAAGTTAGTTTTTGCTTTTTCTTTTAAGTTTAATTATGTAAACCTTTTGAGTGGACTAAGTAAGACAAAGACTAAGTAGACAAGATCAAGATAATAACTAAAATGTTGTCTAAATAGCAACACTGAAAACCTCATCCCTTATTTTTCCACACTTAGGGGGAGAATTTTTTCTTCAATTTTAAATGGTAGCACCCTTGAGGCTTATTTTATAAAAAAAGACACATCAAAATCAGTTTACAATTGGCAATACATCACATAACAATGTTGCTACAGCAGTTGAATTTAAGTAATTTGCCTCTAATATGAAAGGTTTCCATTATCAAAACCTAAGTAAAATATAAGATCAATGAAGGGGTAAGAAAAAATGAACATCAACATGGTGTGGTGGCGCTGTCGTCGCACCACAATCGAAACACATCGAAGCCTAAATCGCGCTAAGAAAGTTTCGAAGTTAAAGCAGTATATTTAGAATAGCTCCGAACTACCACTTGGGAGTGTTGGCCGCTCCCTGGAAAGAACACCTTGCCCGGCAGGAGGGGAGATCCCTTTTCCTTCCACCCGCCACAATGGCAAAAAAAATCATTATGTTGATTTGTATTTGAAAGTGAATGTGCAGTTAGTATTTTTGTTGTTAGTTTATAGCATAATGTTATATAACAATGTCTAATGTGTTTAATTCTTTTGCTCTTAAATTTTAAAATTTAGTTGTAACGTAAGAAGTGGGTGAAAATAGTATTTATTTACCTTTAGAGCTTGATGGAGTTCCAATCAACATATTCTCTTTAGCTCGTAATGGTCTACGTTCAGCAACAGTTAATTTTGGAATGACCAGTGGCCCTAGATAAAAACAAATATGAAAGTAAATTATTATTATCTTTACTTCTATACTAAATTCAGATTATATTATAAAATATTATGAACTTCTATTGTTACATCTTGAATAATTTAATACAATAAAGTAGCTCACCAGGTAAATTAATTGTTGGCACTGCTATTTTACTAATCCTATGGTAACGGCAGCAATATTTTTGTTCAAAATGAGCATGACATACACGCCGTAGTTTGTAGATATATTGATTATCTAATCCAAGAATATCACCACCCACAGCATAAATCCAAGATCTAAATAATTCTGGATTATTTTCGGGATTTGGAAATCCATGCAGCACTGAATGGGAATCTGCAAAAAAAAATGTGACATGTATATTATCAAATTAGGGCATCATATAAGTGATAATTTTTTTTATACAAACAACTTCAATAGGAATATAATTTATTTGATTTTTTTTAAACCGCTCAACCGATTTCGATAAAATTTAAATGGCACTACCTGGGAAGTATACCATTTGAAACAAAAAAATAATTTTGCAAATCGGTTCAGGTGGCTTTGAGTAATCGGTGAACATACATAAAAAAAGGTTCTGACGATTTGAGAAACTCCTCCATTTTTGAAGTCGTTTGAAAATACGACTAAGAATGCATGGACATAAGGAGCTTTCCGAGACTTTTTACTTGTGTACATATTTTATAAGGTTAAATTGTAACCGTTATTTGAAAAACAGTCTATTTACACAAACTACAGACCTTTAATTAGTTAGTTATGAATAAAAAAATTGTCTTTGACTGGCAACTTGATAAAAATAATTTATTTTTAAAGTAAATTTATAAAATGTTAATATGGATAAAGTTAGTATAGTGCAATCTACAGATACATATCTAAATAATGTGTGATATTTTCAAATTACGAATAGTTTTTTCTGTTTGTATATAAAATAACTGAGACCATAAAAACATGTAGTTTTGTTTTTGTTTAACATCATATTTGTTCTATAAAAGCGGCACAAGTTATAGATGTGACGGTTGAGGTTACATGATTTAAATACTAAATTTTAAAATGCTACAGAATAACATATTATATAAATAAGTACTTACTTCCACTTTCAACACATCCAGGCACACAACAGCGGTTTCGCGACATATTAGCAAGTCTCAATAATAGGTGATAAAAACTTAAAACTAAACACTTAACTAATGGAGTCCAATCTCAAATTGTTTATATAATATACACAGTGAAGAAAGATGTAAATCTTATTCGGAGGATCTAGGCGTAGCTCAACTCAACGAAATAGCGGATAAAGCATCTAATCACACAATATAACAAGAACACACCACGCGATTGTAGCTGAACAACACAACGCAATTGAACAAAACACGCCATCGCCATTTGCAATTTTGCAATTTTAGTTGTCAATTCTACCGACGGCGATTGGTCAATATTTTCACATTAAATGGTACTAAGCTTAAAAGGACCCTTTTATGTAATAAATTTCAAAGAATTGTATAAATTCGTAACTTATTCGTATTATAACGACGCTAGTGACATCTGATAGTTATACATGACATCATGTTATTATGACGCAGTAAAATCAAATGTTACACTAACTACGTATAACTTATATTTTGATGTAGTACATTTAAATTTTATAGGATAATTTTAACCAATTTCCATATTCATTGTATGGAGATTGTACCGCCTGGCAAACTGACCGCATCGCGAGAGTATAAACAGGCACTTGTTACCTCGCAACAACACACGAGCCGCGAGGCGAGAGTCTAAACGAGGTATCAGGACATATGCTGATTAAATGGAATTTCCGACTGTAACATTACGATTTAAAAAAAATGTATTGTTTTTATTAATTTTATTTATTTTTATTTTTAGTGTTTTATATTAATTTAACTTTACTTCTACTAACTTTCATATAAAAAAATACTAATAAGATAAAATGTTTACATACTGAATGAGTATTTATATTACACCTCATTCCTAAATCGCGCCGTCCTGATGAAATAAAAGTTGTGGATGCGAAAAGTTTACTATTTATTACGACAGCCTTTTTGATTCTGGCTTTAATATATTTTTTTCATTCTTAGCCCTTGTCAATTTTGACGTATTAGCTGTCTTTGTAATTCTTTGAAATTATTTAGCACACTCAAAATTAATCCAAGTGGAGAAAATAATAATTGATACACAAAAATTGAAAATGCTTCTGATTAACGTTTTTAAAAGTTTAAAATTAATGTGTTGGTTTAAATATCAGACTTTGCTGTTTCCTTTTCCACGTGGCTATTGTAAGAGTCGAATATTTTTCTATTTTCTAGTTATAGGAGCGTTTTTTCACTGGCTGATAATGATATCACAATATTGTATCGTCACCTACATATCACAGCGACACCGATATTATCTAAAAACTTAGTATTCAATAACACGGTTCCGATATCTTGGCGATAAAACTGAACTTTCACGCGTCATTGACAAATTCTACATGTTCAAGATCGGTGCGTCAACGAATTGATATTTTAATGTATTTATTCAATATACCTATGTTCGTTAATATTATGTCATGCACACATGTATTTGTTTTTTACGTCAACACATTCTTGATGTTTTATCCGAAGGATTCTTTGAGGAGCGGACAAGGTACCGCCATTTCTGCGACGATGTATTTGTGTCGTGTCGGTCAATGAAAAAGCATCTTAAGACAGTGCCATAGTTTATAATGATATGTAACATAATGATGTATGATGCGTGGGATCATCATCATCATTATAGCCATTCACAAGTCCACTGCTGAACATAGGCCTCCCCCAAGGAATGCCACAAAGCACGGTCCTGAGCCACTAGCAACCATCGACTTACTGCATGTCTTACCAGATGCTTGGGATACAAAGTCATATATGCCAACTTGCCAATTTATTCTTTTTTTTACAGCGGATACATTTGATAATGTATTGACTAAGGCTGAACATGCACTTGTGGTATTCTATGCTCCGTGGTGTGGACACTGCAAGAGGATTAAACCAGAGTTTGAAAAAGCAGCTACGAGGATTAAGGATGAAAAAGTATGTAAATAAAAGTGGTCATTTACTTTTTTCTTAAAAAAAAAATGTTCATATTCCGTGGCAGATTGCGCGGAAACAATAAGTGATATCGCATTTGTATTTACAAGAGTTTGATAGTAAATTTATCAAGGATCAATGTGTACCTACGCACTTTTCATGTATCGTTTACGGTTTTCTTTGAAAGTGAACAAAAACCGCGCTTCGGGACACTTTCAATTTTTTTTTGAGTCGATAAAATCTCGCTTATAGAAGAGTTTACTGCTGGTTTCTCTCACTTGTTATCGGGCGGTTAGGGTTTATAACGCTCAAAAACATAGGGTATCACGCATTGTTTTTGTAGAACATCTAATACGCCAGTGCCCGCGGATAAATCATTTCGGGAGCGCTTTTTCTACTGACTTGCTTAACAAAAATCAATATTTAAGGCTAGCTGAGAGGTGTAGCCTAATGCTAGATAACCTTTACTGTTTCTCATAAATCTGGCTATAATATATACAAAAATAACTTTTCAAATCGGACTGGTAGTTTCAAAGATTAGCGTGTTTAAGAAATAAAAAAAATAATTAATAGAATCAGGCGTTACTTTGCGGAAATCCATTATATAAAAGCTTTTAAAAAAATTATTTATTCGCGGATGTTTGCGTAGTAAAATTTTTTTTAAATAAAATAAAAAAAAGTCTTCCGCTTTATTATATTAGTTTTTCAACTGAATGTTAAAGTTGCGATTGCGGCTATTTTGAATTCTATTTCTTTTTTTTAATTCGTTCGCTTAGTGGTATCTGACTCGAGTCCCGCCAGAGTTACACAACCGCATTGCTGATTCTGGGCTCGAAGCACACTAGAAGCCAATATTTCTGTATGCAATATATACGTATTGAAATTTTCCATGAGTGACTGCCTTCTTATAGGGGTAAGGATGATGTGACACATAATGAGCACACAGTCTATCTGATGGTAAGTGGAGGAATAATAATCAATATACTGATGTTATGGCACACCTGTGGACTAAGATGGAATGCCTCATTACCCATAAAATGTCTCCAATTATACGCTGTATTCTGTTACGCTACAGCGCTGTATACGCTGGTATTCTGTGCGAGCAATTTCGGTCGAGCTAATCCTATCGTATTGCAGCTATAGTATGGTGTAACATAATTCTACCATGTAACACGCGTCTCCGTGTCTATAGATACAATTACGGGAGTATATGTTTTCTTAAGGTGATATTTTATGTCTTTCGTTGATATTCATCATCATTATTATACCATTTAGATCAACGGCGTACTCGCAGCTGTCGACGCCACCAAGGAGCCCGAGCTTGCCTCCCGCTTCGGTGTCAAAGGTTACCCCACTCTGAAGTACTTTAGCAGAGGCGAGTTCAAGTACGACGCCGGACACGCAAGACAAGAGGAGCAAATTGTGAACTTTATCAAGGTGAATATTTTACTGTTTAAGTGTTAGTTAGTTAAACGTGTTTACATTTATTGCAACGTAAATTATGAGATGCATTAGAATAGCGCATTAATCAGTTGATGTGAAATATAAGCGAATATGCGGAGAGGGATGTTTTTTTTTTCTATATAATTTATGATTTTAACATTTACGAGATTATAGCTTGCGAATGTACGCAATGCTAAAGCTAAAGCAGGCGTCCGACTCGGCGTTATGCTGTAGAGTTAACCACAGGGCTAATATTTTACCGGTCACTTTTCAAGAACTCATGAAAAGTCGCCAAACATATAGTGTCGATACATATATGTAAAATTTGAGAAAATATAGTAAATGGTAAAACTAATATTAAAGTGTATTAAACTAAACACTGATAAAAACAGAAGTATTAATTCTTAAAACCATAGTTATTAAACCACAAATAAGACTCGTAGCGGTAGTCGAAGTGTAGGGCGGCCCCGCACAAGATGGAGTGACGACCTGGTCAGACATGCGAGAAGTCAGTGGATGCAGGTGGCTCAGGACCGTGCTTTGTGGCTTTCTTTGGGGGAGGCTTCAACAAAGAAAATCATAAATGTATATTTATTAATGTATTTATTCAGAACCCACAAGAGCCCCCACCCCCACCGCCTCCAGAGAAGCCATGGTCCGAAGAGGAATCACACGTGCGACATTTAAACGCTTCGACCTTCAGGAACACGCTGAGGAAAATTAAGCACGCTGTTGTCATGTTTTACGCTCCATGTAAGTATTTTTTAAAGATTTTGTTCTTGGTAGTGGGACTCCTCTCTAGGACTCCGTCTGGGCAGGTACAATGCGATTCAAATAAGACCTCGAATGACTGCGATCTGTCAACTGTCATTTGCAAAGAACGGCTTGCAAAGAAAATTATTTTTCCATTTTTATAATTACTTCATCGAGTGATTGTTTTACCAATTGTATGAAAGTTAAAATCAGTTGTAATAATAATTTAAAACTGTTTTTTATTTCTATTTTCATTGTTGGCAACATTACGCCAAAAAATTAATAAATTAATGAAATAAATAAAATATTTAATTATATGAATTATTGAGTGCTGGATTCCGATTAAAAATTTTCATTCACGGTTCTTTTGTTTTCATTTGTAAATAAATATTATTTCAATAATATTTGTTTTGCTCACTCTACCTAACGTGTTTGAATTGACAACTATGACGTCACAATATGGCGGCAAGTCAGTTATGTTCTTATTCGAATCGCATAGTACCATCCTCTTACCTCTCTGTGTTCCGATCTGAACGGTTTAGAGAACCAGAATAATTAAAGGCTATGATGCATTCCAACTTAGTACACAGGTTTGATAGCGCATCTGTGGTCTTTAGTGTAAAGTGGAAGTTAGCTATAGGTGCCTTAGACTGCAATAATCACAAACCATTCTCCTGAACTGTAAGTTCTTTTAATACTTCAGTTTAACTGAATATGTTAGTTATGTTTATTAGCCGATAGACAGAACGGGCTGCTAATTGTTGTGATAATGTTGTGTTGTAATGTAGCCGACCTAATCGTGCTGCAGCTCTATCATTCATAGTACGACTAAGAACCACGCTCTCACAGCATGAAATAGCAGCATAATACAACTTCGTTTCTTATGATAACGAGAACTGTCATCTTATCCTTATGGGTAACAAACAACCCATCTGCATTTTTATTCTTAATTGGAAATAGATTTAGATATTAATGAGCTATAACATACATTTACCATCAGGTGGATTGTGTGCTCGTTTGTCATGCTCAGTATACAAAATTACCAATGAATTATTTCCAGCTTTGTGGAGCTCTTTTTGTTGGACGTAGATCATAATCATTTAAACTACGTGGTAGAGCCATGATGCTACAATATAGTTGTTGCACGATGGGTCGGCTCGACCGAGGTAGGACCACGTTCTCACAATACCAGCGTAAAATAGCAGCTTAATGCTGCTGTGTTTTGTATGGTGAGTGTAGAGAACTGCAGACCCTTTTTACTGGAAACGAGGCATTCAATTTCAGTCCTCATGGATGACAACGCATCTGTATTTTGATTCTTAAATGATGATGAATGTTGATGTTTATGGACCACAGCATTCACTTACCATCAGGTAGACTGTGGTGTGCTCGTTTATCACACTAATTCTTAAAAAAATCGTATCATTTAACTAAATACTGAATGAGGCTGAGTGGTTTAAACCTGTTTGGAATAATGGCATCTAGTTAATCATTTTAAGTTATGTACAACTAGCGTAATTTATCGTTTGATTACTGTCGTATCCTTACATATGAATAAAAAAATCTTAGTCCTTTTTTTTAAATATGTTACTTCTGTTTTTTGCTGTTCGAACGCTGTTTTTGACTGTACTTGCCAAATAATGGAAAGTACAGTCAGAAACATGTAAATGGGTTTTAAATTTATAGGGTGTGGCCATTGCAAAAGTACGAAACCCGAGTTCGTAAAGGCGGCGGAACAGTTTGCCGACGAGCTCACTGTAGCCTTTGGCGCTGTCGACTGTACGGCGGAGCAAAAGCTTTGCTCCAATTACGAAGTACGAGGCTATCCCACCATCAAATACTTCAGTTACTTCGATAAGTTGGTGCAAGATTACACCGGCGGTAGGAAGGTATGATTTGAATAGACTGTACTCAACATTATAGTTTTTTTTTAAACTGTTATAAGCCAATGTTTGACTACTGTAGTGTATGTGAATACAGCAATTTATATACATAAATAATTATATGCAGGTAGATGGATTACTTCGCTCCTCTACTAGCGCTCGCTGTAAATTTCACAGTGCGCGAGCAACCCGGGCTCGTTCCCCGCCATCACCAATGAAATTGTTAATTGCAATTTTAAGTGCTGATTTACCACGTGTTCGGCGGTGCAAGAAAACATCATGACGAAACCTGCATGTCTGAGAAATAAGAAAAAGTATTTCGAAGACATGTGAAGTTCGTCAACACGCATTGGGGCACAGCGGCAGACACTTCCTTGCCCTAAAACCCTTTCAGAAATGAGAGGAGGTCTGTGCAGGACATATGTATGCTATAGTTTTAACTTCAACTACTAGACTGGCAATTCTAAACAATATCTGTGTCACAGCTAAGGTTCGCGCGGGCATCGGCGGGTTGCTGGTACAGTAAATATGACACGAAGTTGTATTTTCATTTACGACAGTTACTGTTTTTAGGCGAATACGTAACAAAGTTACATACTTATTTGAAATAAACTTTAAATCACGTTGACAAAGTGTGCACATAACATCATGGTTTCGTTTCTGAGTGACATTAAACAAAATCAGTGTTAGATTGTACAAAACAACGTTCGCGGTTTACAAAGTAAAGAGTATTCTCGTCCACTCGCAATCGCCAAAAGTAGTTACTGAGAAATGACGGTAACTTGGGGCGCTATGTAATTAGTACCGTAGTGCCCGTTAGTTATATATACCCGTGTATACATGGAAGTCTTTGCTATTGTCTAAGGCCATTCACTACGCAGTTGTATTTTTTTTTATAGACTATATATTAGGGTGACAAACGAGCACACAGTCCACCTGATGGTAAGTGGTTGCTGTGGTCCATAGACATCTACATCTATCCTCGATTACGAATCAAAATGCAGATGCGTTGTCACCCGTGAGGACTAAGATGGAATGCCTCGTTTCCAGTAAAAAAGGGTCTACGGTTCTCTACATTTACCATATGAAACACAGCAGCGTTATACTGCTATTTTACGCTGGTATTCTGTGAGAGCGTGGTCCTTCCCAGGTCGAGCCGACACATCCGTGCTACAACTATACCAGTAATATAGCTCGAGTATGGCTCTACCACGTAATAAATTGTATTGATTAAAATGGCCATTTGTAATTGTGTCTGCGCAGATTGAACACGTAGTGTGTGTCTTAAAACTACTATGATTACACAGTACAGTACAGTACACTATAATTACTATCCTACCTGATGGTACAGTCCGTACAGATAAACAATGGGATTAGAAATGGCGGCTCATCGTGACCGTAGTACCGTCGACATGCACAGTACCAATAGCGAAAACCCGCTAATAACGGTACAACGTTATATTATTCGGCTACTTGGAAATTTTCTATTAATGGGAAAATATCTGAAAAAAATTGTATACGCAAGTACATAAACTTTAAAATAATATTTGTACCTATCGACCCGCTTTGACTTTACCTGGGTGAGATCTATTGATGTGGCTGTATTTAAACTAAGATAATCATTAAATACCATTTATTTTATCAATATTTCTATTTTAATAGTCTCTAAATTTTTGGGATAAAATTTAGTCTAGATCACTACTGGTATTACTCTCTATTTGTTCGTGAAGTTTTATTAAAATCGATTCAGCCATTCAGAAGATTGGCTCGGACAGACAGACAACACGTTTTGCACTTGGTAGAGCCATGCTGCAGCTATATTATGGTTGTAGCACGAATGGGAAAGACCTCGCTCTCACAGAATACCAGCGTAAAATAATAGACCCTTTTTACCGGCATACGAGGCATTCCATATTTGTCCTCAGGGGTGACAACGCATCTACTTACCATCAGGTGGACTGTGTGCTCGTTTGTCACCTTCACCAAAAAAAAAAGAAAATTTTAAAAATGATTGTATGTAAAAATACCATAGCATGTAATCATTTTATACGAAAATATTAACAAACAAATCAATAATAATTTTGGTGAAAACTCGCAGAACGCGTCGTAGCTTATGAGCGAAACCGGATAGAACTTTTTTTTATGTTTTTGATATTTTGTTATAATTGATTACAATGACGAGATGGACTAAAGTTATAGAACGTACGAAAAACGCATATCGCAACGTATTTTTTTTTGCAGTCTACCGGCGGGTGTAAGTATAGATAGCGACAATGCGTGAGCGAGAGGTGAATATAGGTGATGCCATTTTCAATCCCATTCTTTAACCGCACGGGTAGTAAGTGGTGAAGTAGCGCACAATCGTTAACGTACTGACTTGTCTTAACAAAAGGCTATCCACTCATGTTTTAAAAACATTTTTGCATTGCAGGAGGGAGACTTTGTCTTGTTCATCAATAGCCAGCGCGGGAAACACGAGGAGACGAAGAAATCCACGAAGACAAATCAGGACGCCGGTTTTGGTACCAACGTTCAACTTGCGACCGATGACGACTTTGAGATGATCATATCTTCCCCAAAACCCACTTTCGTCATGTTTTACGCTGTCTGTGAGTTGATAATTATATCTAGCCTAGCCATTGGTTATTTAACCGATATAGCGTAAGAATCGGAAATCAGAAGTGGCAATGGGCGGCCCATATACCTCGAATTGACATACAGGTGGCTCAGGACCGTGGACATATGAAGGACTGTAATGGTGTAAATGTTGATTATTGTGATTATTTAATTGTCCAGAATAGAATCTTTAAGCAGCAAAAAAATAGGAATTTCTAGCTAGCATATAACTATTGAGAGCCGTGGTAGCTCAGATGGTTAGCGCTCGTTGTAAGCTTCACAGTACTCGAGCAACCCGGGTTCGATCCCCGCCGGCACCAATGAAATTGTTAATTGCAATTTTAAGTGCTGATTTACCACGTGCTCGGCGGTGAAGGAAAACATCGTGAGGAAACCTGCATGTCTGAGAAATAACAAAAAAAATATTTCGAAGACATGTGAAGTTCGCCAACGCGCATTGGGGCAGCACGGCGGACGTTTCCTTACCCTAAAACCCTCTCAGAAATGAGAGGAGGCCTGTGCCCAGCAGTGGGACGTAAATAGGCTGCAACTTTACTTTTTTATACAACTATTGTATTATTTCCAACTATCGACCCGCCATGGCTTTGTCTGGGTAGGAAAAGCTCATTTTTGTGTTAATAATGTTTTGATTCGTAAAAACAATCTCCAAGTTTTTCACATAAAACATTCAGATTAATCTTGGTGTTGCTCTCTATATATGTTCATGAAGTTTCATTACATTCGGCTCAGCCATTCCGAAGATTAGCCCGAACAGACATACAGACAAAACGCTTAAAAACTGTTATTTGTCTTAATGGATGTAGACGTCAGCTCTATAAAAGGCAGTTATTTCGATATTAGACACTTCAATTTTATTTATGCCATCAAAACATAACTTAAAAAAACAAGTCTCACAACTCAGTTCTTCTACCGTAAAAAGTTGTGAGATCCATGTAATATCAAGTCGGTTAATTTATTCAGTCCCTACTTAAGGGTCCTTCTGTCTCAAGTTATTACGTAATTAGCTAACCTAACAACATCTTATAGTGACCATATCAATATTAAAAATCTTTGTTTTAAATACATCGATTGACTTGGCCATCACATGAAAACTCAATGTTATCTCACAAGTAATACATATTATATTAAATTAGATTGTTTAGTGCGATTGCCAAGTCAATCTATGTATTTAAAACATAAAGATTTTTAATATTGATATGGTCACTATAAGATGTTGTTAGGTTAGCTAATTATATTAGGTTAGATATGTATGGACTAGCTGCGCCTGCGACATTTGCATAGAATAACTTTTAGTGGTTCAAGCCCGTCTTTCACTATGGGATATAATATAATATATATTACATCTCAGATATAAATTAATATCGCTCACCATACATTTCATATGGAACCGTTTATACTGAGCTATAATATATATTACATCTCAAGCTATAAATATTTTTTCGATCGACTAAGCGTTATTTTCATATTATATTTCGCCCCCTGTACCCCGAACACCGTTCCGCGGCCCCGCAGAACAGTGTACGGGGTAAAGGGGGGTAATCCAATGGCCAATGACGAACGCATACTGGTTAAAAAATATATCTCACAGTGTGAAAAGCCAATCGCGGAATATAATTTATATTTCGGGATATAATATATATTATATCCCATAGTGAAAAGCCAGCCTTATTGTTATAGTTTCCTATTTAAATCGGATTTTCTTTACAATGTCATGGACTTTAACTGTACCCTAATTTTCTTTCTAAAATAAAAGCCTAAGCCTAAGTTACTCCTTATAAAACTAGATATCTGCCGGTACGTTTCGGAGATTAGCTAGTTAAAGCTGTTATTTTGACATTACGAACAGACATTTCAATTTTATTTATTTGTGTAGATATGATGACGATATCCGTCTTTCAGGGTGCAGCCACTGCGTAACCGCAAAGCCGGCATTCAGCCGTTTAGCGACCACCTTAAAGTCGGACAACTGGCCCGTTAAAGTCGTCGCCGTGGAGGCGTCCGACAATCCGAAAGTGGCCGACTTTGCCCACGTCGAGACGCTGCCCACTTTCAAGATGTACGCAGCTGGGAAACACGTGGCCGATTACGAAGGCGACAGAACCACAGAGGATATGCTCAAGTTTTGTATGTCTCACGTAAAAGTTAAGGACGAGCTGTGATTGGATTTTACATTTGTTCATTAAACCTTGCAAACGTCACAATTATGCGGTTGATTACGTTAATCGAGTTAGAAAAATATTATATTAGGCTTAAGTACGTTAAATATGATGTTTGTGTAAGTGGGGTGGGGCAAATATTGTTTATTTTATATACATAATTTTATTTATTCATGATAATATAATTATTGTTGCAAAGTAAAATTCAAACAATAAATTAATCTATATGGAATTAAAAACATTTATCATTGTATTAAAACTAACATTGGTAAATTATTATTTATTTTTAGTTATGTAGGTTAGCAAAAAAATATAATACATTTCCTTATACATTTAATTGTTATGTTTGTAGCGGCTAAAAGAAATTAAGTTTATCCTGTCAACACTAGTTTAGTTTAGGCCATTTCTTGGTTGGTCGACACGAGAACAACACAACGTCCCGTCTTACCGAGATCCTACTTGTCAACATTATTCAGCGTAATATGTGACACTTCTTTAAATTATTGAACAGAGCTCTTTTAAAAGTTCGGCCTGAATAAGATAACAAGTAAAACATAAAATAAATATGAAAAACCTCACGCCTGTTGCCCATTTCCCAGAGGGGTAAGCAGGAACAATGGACTTCCATTTGGCATGATCCTGACACATCTCTTTCGCTTCTTTACATTCTCCCCGGTTAAGGGTTACTCTCAATTTGGCCCATCTTCAATATAAATATGAAATAGGAAATATTTATTGCAAACAAGCCACACACATAACCAGGCACTAAAGTTTAAATACTTATGATTACAATCAATATAGGTATAAAAAAATAACAAGAAAAGACAACAATTAACAGATTTAACGTATAGCAAAAGTATATAACTATATTTACAAATTAAATTATATATATGTACACGTCAAACTTGTTACGTTAATGTTCAAATTATTTTTCTACGTTCTATCCTCATATCTCCATCGTGTGTTCCATCGTTGCTCTAGTACTCTAACACATTTCCTGTAGGCAGATTTTTCGCAGATTTAATAATAATAATACTTAAAAATTATCCTGCCCTCAAAAATTATTATCCGCCAGTAATCTTAAGAATATATAAATACAGTGGTGCCAAATCAGATGAATAAGGTGGGTGGTTCAGTATTTCGAACCGAGGTTTGTGGAGATTAGCGATTGCGAAAACAGAAGTGTGTGTCGGAGCATAATCATGATGGAACAGGGCCGGACTTTTCATCATTTCTTGCTTTTTTAAAAATATTTCTTGGTATGTGTCTAACATTTTCTTTATTTCCCAGAACTGCTGTGCCAGTTTGACTGGGTCATACTTCACCAGGGTGTCCGGGTCGTGATATTTCGACAGAAGAATATTAACTTGGCGTATCACCTTACACATCTTTCCAGAGAGTGGTGTGGAGCTCTTAAGAGTATATCCGACTCCTTGTTTTTCATAATAAAACTAACCATGAGGGAAGGTTGTGGGGCGGGCTGACTGGGAGGGGGATTGTTTATAGTGTGTACTGTGATTGGGTCAGTCATTAGCTCTGAGTACGTTTTGAGTTGGGCCTCGATTTTAGATTGATAGTCTGAAATAAGGGAAGACCCTCCACGTCTGTTCGGCTGTGAGGATAGAGATTTCCGTAGGTAATCACCTTGATAGCAGCGGTGGTCAGCTTAGAATCTGCAGTTAGATTTGCCATGGCTTCCAGCGTCTCTAAGATTATCCCGTTTGTTTTGTATCATGGAATCGACAAATCCTTGGAGGTAGACCAACGGGCCAGAGTCAGTTGTGATTTCCTCTTTGTTGGGTGTAGTTAGAAATTTAGACAAAAACATGCAGATGCGATGGGCTTTTAGCCGATCCCACTGTTCGTCTAATAGAATAACTCAGAGCTGCTACACTGTCTTCTTAATTCTCCCCAGGGTCCCTTCTGGTGTCACTGGTGGATTTGCCCAGAGCTAAAGGAGGGTTGCTTCCTTTGTTGGCCATTGATGACGGACTGGTTCTAATTGGCTATTCCGTCCTTTGGAAAAGTAGTTAATAAACATAATCCCCTTGGAATCTTAAGAACTCTACACGAACACTTTCCCTCGCCGAAGGTGATAAAATTTAATGAATAATATACGGCATAACGAAACAGCAATTTTGTCTCAGGAATATAATGGTGGATTCAAGTTGTATCAGTAGAAATGAATTGGCTCAAAAAGTCAGCGTGATTCATTTTCAACAGCGCTATATTGGAAATATCAACGTGTTTGCATTTTTAAACTTTTAGCGATCGCGACACTTACTTTGGAGACACCATAGACATTCTTTACTCATCAGTTGAAACATAATGCGTCTCCGATTCATTGTTATCTCCATATAGCAATATCACCAATTTTTATCTTCTATAACAATTTACAAATTTTTCTCTACTAGAACCCTGTTTGAAAGTCAATGGATGCAGGTGGCTCGGGACCGTGCTTTGTGGCATTCCTTGGGGGAGGCCTATGTTTAGCAGTGGACTTGTGAAGGGCTGATTAACCCTGTTTACCGGTAATGAGGCTTATTCTATCTTAGTCCTTATGGGTGAAAATGCATCTAAATTTTGATTCTTAAATTCAAATATAAAAATACATCTACCATATAGGGGCCGGATTTCTTGGCAAAAGCATACACTTACCATCAGGTGGACTGTGATCTCGTTTGTCACTATTATTTTATAAAAAAAACTATTCGACGATTGACGGATTATCTTCCACGCACTTTGCCTTGCTTACTGAAGCCGTTACTCATCTATTGGATATCTGCTTTTTTTATCATAATACTAAATCATAGCTCTGTTTTTCCGTTTTATCCATTCTCCCACATGCAGTATAGCAGATTGATAACATCGTAAAAATATTAAAAAAAAATTAAGTACAAAAAAGATGTCGCAACTCGGACGCATTACATTGCTTTTGCGTTGCGCCGAACAATGAATAAATTTTCTTAATAGGGGATCGACACGACATGTTATGCCGAGTGTATGTTGTACAGCTGTCGTACCGATCAGTCAAGAGACGGCCTTTAGTTACAATTGCAAATTGTGACTACAACATAAATGAATTTTTCTTAACAGATCATAATCATTCAATTATTATAATAATCATTCAATCACAGTTTATCGATATATCAATTATACTCGTATCATTCCGAAACGAATTTGAACAATTCTTAGAATGCTTATTGCTATATACCAAATACTTCTATGTATACTACTAGATGGGCTCTACGGCCTTAATACATAGCGCGCTAAGTTAAGGTCAATTGTCCGTAACTCCTTTAGTCGACGGCGAGCAGGCAAGAAGACTTGTTCTTTGTTGCGTGAACCGCTAACGTTGTTTTCGACTATCTAACACTGATTCTGTTTAATGTGACTAAAAACGAAAACACCAATAATGTTATGTGCGCATTTTGGCTTTGGAACGGTTTTTTTTCTTCATCTGGATTGCCGGTCTTGTAGTATGCATAGAAGTGTTTGCTAGATAGTATTGATATTATACGTATATACATTACATTAATAGTTAACTAAGAACAATTGAGAGAAAATTATTTTTGTATTTTAGATAATTATAATATAATATTTGCTTTATAGGGAATGAACATCGAAACGTTTGCGGATTTAAATTAGCTTAATCTAGTTTTCTTATTGGTCCCGCTGTTAGTAAAGGTTTATATAAGCTACCTGATTGATAGAAGACAATATATTTCCTATAATTAGATACGGCTTTTGCTATTTTATTAACGATATGATAAATCTCTCATTTTTATATACTATGATTAATCTTATATAGTTGTAAATTTCATATTATTTAGAAGAAAATGTATATTGACTGGCCTGTTGGTCTAGTGGTTAGTGACCCTGACTGCTACGCCGGAGGTCGTGGGTTCGATTCCCACCCAGGACAAATGTTTGTGTGATGAGCACGATCATTTGTTCTGTGTCTGGGTGTAATTTATCTATAATATTTATGTATTTAAAAATATATAAGTATGTTTATCAGTTGTCTAGTACCCATAACACAAGCTCTGCTTAGCTTGGGACTAGATGGCGTTGTTTGATAGTTGTGGAATATTATTATTATTATTATTCGGTTATATGGATGTACGTATTAAAACGTTGGTGAGATTGCTAAGATCGAATTTTCCTATGTAATAAGTAACAGTATAAAAAGTCAACGACATATTTGACAAATCATATATTAACGAAATAAATAAAATTAAAAATATAAGCATTAGTTGTCGCCTTGTATTTCATTCAAAAGTGAAAGAATATTTGTAAAAAAAAAGGCACTGCAAGTTGTAAAAATATATCATTTTGTTTCTCGTCTTTAAGTTGCATTAAGCCTTTTTTAATTTATTTAAAATATTTGTATTTAATAATGACATCCAACAATACACCAATGTGATAATATATACATACATAATGTGCATCCTGATATATTCCCCGTAATAAAGATTAATGTAACTGATTAATTCATAATAGAAACTTATTGTTGAATATCAGATGACTAAAATGTATGTGCTATTAATTAATAGGGCTTTATGTGTACGATAAAATAAAAAATAGTTATTTCAGTTTCGAATTTACATAATATTATTGCTTATGTATGTTTAGCGTGCGCGAATGATTTATTACTATATATGCATTTGCAACTCCTGCGGTTAAGGAATGGGGTTAGAAATGGCGGCCCATCGAGCATGTAGTGTAAGTATTCTGTTCGTTAATATAGATAAAACAGGGCGAATAACATTTTGTTATATTGCAAATAACGTTATTACATTTATTAAAATTTTGTTTATTAGGAATTTTTTGATTAATGGAAAAAATCTAATTAGTATATTAAAACCTATTGAATTATGTAGTGGAAAAATCTGATTAGTATATTAAAACTACAATTGTGTTATGTAATGGAAAAATCTGATTAGTATATTAAAATTACAATTGAATTATGTAATGGAAAAATCTGATTAGTATATTAAAAT